TCTGTCAAGTTTGTGGTTCGCTGTAAAACATGTTTTGTGATTGGAACAATGTTAGTCCTCCAGGGTGAGCCTCTCCGGAACGCCTGAGGGAGAGAAACCACAAACATCTATTCCCTTCCCACGGAGACTAACTTAGATCTGAGCCCTCCTCCATGCCAGTCGGGAGGTCCACTCACTTATTCAGTGAATCTTTGTTTAGCTCCAACTAAATGCCAAGTGCTGGGAATACTAAGACAAACGCAAAACAAGACCCCTACTCCCAGGAGATTCAGAGTCTAATCTGTCAGATACACAGGGCTGGGGCTTGGAGGCACGTCTAGGCTGGATACAGACCCATGTGGCCGCCATTAAGATGGCAGTGACTTCTGAAGATGCCACAGGTGTCTGCGCTGCTAAGTATTGTTATTCCAGCTTGACCTAGGAGCAGACACACCTGCCCCTCTTTTGCCTCCCTCCTGCCCGCCACCTCTCTGAACTCTTGACTGGGCTCTTACCTCTTCCTTGCTCCACACTCTTCCTATAGCTTCCCTCCTTGATACCCTGTGCCTTGCCCATGTCTCTGGAGTCCAGCTACAGGAGTTTGGTAAACAGAGGAATAGGAAGTAAGTGATTTGGAATTAAGACTGTCAGCCCCAAAGTGACAAGAAAGACCATGAGGTTGGAGACTGTGCCCATGTGTGCTGAAGGCCTCACAAGAGGAAAGTGGAATAATACTAATAGTAATAACCCAGCTGTCACTGTCCTGTCTCCATCCATTCCCACAGGCTCCGATATCACTATAAAGCATCCCATGCCTTTCTGAGAATTCCCAGCGTGTGCTGGCAGTAACAACCCGCTCTGCCAGGCACCTCCACTCTGCCACTCCTCAGAGGCATCTCAGTCCCCAGGACAGCCACCGTGATTGTGCTGCTGGGTCCCAGGTCCCACCATCTCCTGCCACAGCCCACGTGCTAAAGGACTCACTCTGCTAGAGCTCTACTTGGTCTGCTCCGGAGAGAAGAATGCCTGTCCCCTTTGTGCTATCCTCCACTGTGGTGTACCCAAGCAGAACTGCACGTGTACCAATGCTTGGGGAGATTCCAGTCAAATAGCCCCCTGTTCTCTGTGGGCTCAGACATGTTCCTACAGGGCATTGGCCACACGACAGTCAACAGACTAAACTCAGAATCAGTGTTGGGTCTAGCTAAGTGAGCCCTCCGGTCCAGCTAATTGGATCTAGAGGGGTCCCATGCTCAAACCCTTTTCCCTCCTGGTATGTTTTATCCCCAGGGACTCCTCAGTCTCAACCAAAAAGTTTCTGTAAAGAACTCACAAATTTGCAGAGAAGTCCTAAGTGTTTCTTAACATCAGTTTAAGTTCAAACTGAGACTTTCCCCCAAACCTGCCTCCCTCCCTTTTTAATCCAGCACATATACTGAATTTTTGTTTAATCCTCCCCATTGGATATGTTTGGTATTTTAGAGAGAGAAGGGAGGGTAGGGAGAGAGAGAGAGAAACATCCATTGGTTGCCTCCCTTGTGCCCCTGGGACCCCGCATGGAACAGGAAACCTTTAGTGCAGAGAAGATGCTCCTACCAACTGAGCCACACGAGTCAGGGCAATACTGAACTTTTGTTTAAAAAAGCAGACTGTAATAATGTGTGCATGTATTCAAAATGTGAATGTGTTCTACATCTCATTCTGCCCTCTAAATCCTATGATTCTCTACGTAATGATGAGAAAACTGAAGATCAGAGAGGTTACATGACTCTTTGAAGGTCTCACATTTACTAATAAGCAAAACAGGATTCACACCCAAGCCTGTCCATCAAGTACACTGGAGATTTCCCAGCTTTGGGGTCCTGCCAGGGATAGACATCCCCCCACCGCTCCCCGACCACACACACACCCTCCTTATAAGAAAAGAGTTGAAAATCTGGCGCCGATTTAGGGACCAGGGTGTTTCACGAGGAGCCGCTTTTTCACCTCCCACTTCCGGGGCCCACTAGGGACACACCCCGCTGGGCTATAAACTCAGCGGCGGGCGCAGCAACTAACGCTCTAGGGCAGTGAGCGAGCGCGGAGCCACGCCCACCCCAGCCGCTCTCCCCCTGGCCACGCCCACCCCGGCCGCTCGCCCCTGGCCACGCCCACCCCGGCCGCTCGCCCCTGGCCACGCCCACCCCGGCCGCTCGCCCTGGCCACGCCCACCCCGGCCGCTCGCCTCTGGCCACGCCCACCCCAGCCGCTCTCCCCTGGCCACGCCCACCCCAGCCGCTCGCCCCTGGCCTCGCCCACCCCAGCCGCTCGCCCACCCCAGCCGCTCTCCCCTGGCCACGCCCACCCCAGCCGCTCGCCCCTGGCCTCGCCCACCCAAGCCGCTCGCCCACCCCAGCCGCTCGCCCCTGGCCACGCCCACCCCAGCCGCTCGCCCACCCCAGCCGCTCTCCCCTGGCCACGCCCACCCCAGCCGCTCGCCCACCCCAGCCGCTCGCCCCTGGCCACGCCCACCCCGGCCGCTCGCCCTGGCCACGCCCACCCCGGCCGCTCGCCTCTGGCCACGCCCACCCCAGCCGCTCGCCCCTGGCCTCGCCCACCCCAGCCGCTCGCCCACCCCAGCCGCTCTCCCCTGGCCACGCCCACCCCAGCCGCTCGCCCACCCCAGCCGCTCGCCCCTGGCCACGCCCACCCCGGCCGCGCGCCCTGGCCACGCCCACCCCGGCCGCTCGCCTCTGGCCACGCCCACCCCAGCCGCTCGCCCCTGGCCTCGCCCACCCCAGCCGCTCGCCCACCCCAGCCGCTCTCCCCTGGCCACGCCCACCCCAGCCGCTCGCCCCTGGCCTCGCCCACCCCAGCCGCTCGCCCACCCCAGCCGCTCTCCCCTGGCCACGCCCACCCCAGCCGCTCGCCCCTGGCCTCGCCCACCCAAGCCGCTCGCCCACCCCAGCCGCTCGCCCCTGGCCACGCCCACCCCAGCCGCTCGCCCACCCCAGCCGCTCTCCCCTGGCCACGCCCACCCCAGCCGCTCGCCCACCCCAGCCGCTCGCCCCTGGCCACGCCCACCCCGGCCTCTCGCCCCTGGCCACGCCCACCCCGGCCGCTCGCCCCTGGCCACGCCCACCCCAGCCGCTCGCCCCTGGTCACGCCACGCCCCAGCCGAGGTCAGTCACCCCCGCCCGCGCACAGCCGCCATTTCCTGTCCAGCCCGGAGCGCGCAGGTCAGTGCCGCGGGGTGGCCCGGGTCTGCCCTGGGCCCCGGTCTTGACCTGACAGTGGGAGCCGAGCAGAGGACGCTGGTTTGGGCCCCAGCAGATGGGACGGTATCGGCTGGGGGCTGGGATTTCCATGGCAGGCGCTGGGGCCACTGGACGCTACCGAGCGGTTGCCGGGCAACAGTGCCGTAGGCCCCGCCCCCCTGCGCTGGGCGGCGTGGGGCGTCTGGGGCGGGCGCGTCCCAAAGGGTGTGTCCCCGCGGGCCGCCGCTCCTGCCGAGCGAAAGAGCGCCAGGCGCACCACCCTTTCCAGGCCTGGGCTGCAGTGGCTTCGGGCCCAGGCAGTGCGTGCCCCGGGACCCTGCCCTGGAGCGGAGGGGCAGGCGTCCGCCCGCGGAGGTTCTGAGCCTTCTTTCTGCCCCCCCCCCCAACCTCGGGCACGTTAACTCACTTCTCTAGGCCCCGTTTCGTGGGGTCTAAACTGTTAGAGCTGGAAAGAACCCCAGTGATCTTTTATTTAAGCCACTCATCCCCGTCTGTTTTATAGATAAGGGTGCCTCGCATTTACCACTCACAGCGTGCCTGGAGCTTTACATTAACCCCAGGATAGCCCTCGCCCGCGGTGTGACCATTTGCATAGAATGCATGAGGACTCTGAGGCTCAGAGAGGTTGTGACTTAGCTGAGGTCACACAGCTTATAATTGGTGAAATCTCAGAGATCAGTAACTCACAACTTTCAAATTCCCAGTGACGGGTGCATTGTACAACTACTAAACCTAGCTGTAAGTCAGAATCACCTGGACAGTGTTGAAAATAAGACATTTCTGGCCCTGGCCACTGAAGTTCAGTGGTTAGAGCATCCGCCTGAAGGGTCGCCAGTTTGATTCCATGTCAAGGGCATGTACCTAGGTTGATCCCCCATCCCTGGCCCTGGTTGGGAAGCCTGCAGGAGGCAACCAATGGGTGTGTCTCTCTCATCAATGTTTCTCCCTTACACTCTTAAAATCAGTGGAAAAAAATATCCTCAGGTGAGGATTAACAAAAAGAGAGAGAGAGATTTCTGGGTACCATCTCAGGTTCACTGACCAAGGAGCTCTGGCACTAAGGCTGAAGAATCTGTGTATTTAACAAAGTTTGGGATGATTTTTATGGCCTGCGGATGAGCCTTTGGGAAGCACAGCGTACGCTGTGCACCTTCTTACTGAGAGACAACTGGGAGGTAATGATCTAAAGTACCCAGAGAAGAGGAGAGAGGCTGGGGCATGGTGGCATCCAGCCCTAATCCCTTCAGCTAATTTGTAGTTTCTCCCCACTCCTCAGAAACAAGCCACATCACATTTTAAACCGTTTTGGACATTTAAATGCAAATTGTCCCATCTCTGGTCACCTGTTTGTTACACAGCCAGGTCCAAGCTTCTGGCTGAGCTAGTCGGTCATATTCAAAGTCAAGCATTTGCATCGTCCTCCATCTCCGAGGCCTGCCGACGGCTCTCCTGGTCTCCCTGCCACCAGGTTCCGGAGTCACAGCGGTTGATGTTAGCTTTGGAGGGACATTTTGCAAGTGGTTTCCCCAGTGGAGGGTGGCCTGGCTTTCTGGAGGTATCACCACAAGTAGTGAGTGTCCCTTAAAGACCAGTCGAGTGAAATAGATCACCCTGCTGCTATCATTCTTGACATTTATAAACACACATCTGCCTTAAAAACAACCACTTGGCAGTTAGTCTTGGAAGGCTAATAAACCTGACAGATTCCGTTTAGTGTTTCATTATTATTAATTTTCATCATTTACACTGCCTCCCTCAGGGATTCTGGTTCACAATGGCTGACGATCAAGAGAAAGACTTGCAGAAATTTCTTAAAAATGTGGATGAAATCAGTAAGTACCAGTGAATCATAAATAGATTAAATTCTACTTTAGGGAAGTGGGTGACTGAAAAGAAATGAATGAGTAAGTCATTTCCTGGGTTGCCGGACAGATTTAGGACTCAAGAAAAAATGTAATTGAAATTAAATGGAAAGGATATTGAGAAACAAGTAATATTAGAGCCTGGGGGTAGTATTTTCTGGCTGTTAATTGGTATTAGAGAAGCTGTGAACATTCTGTTGGAATTCAGACTGACAGCCATAATTTGCCTTTGCTGTGTTTTGTCCCCTTCCATGCAGAATCAAGTCAAAAGCAGCTTCTATTTCCCCATGGCCAGTAAGCCTAGCTGTTCCACTCAGGTGCCCCGTTGATCAGTCTGGGATCCCTCTTGTTTTGGAGTAGAATCATTTCTGCTTTTGAGCTGCAGAGTCTAAATCAAATGGCTTTCCCTGACGATCAATGAAATCACATTGGCGGCTCGTGGTTAGCATTCCCTGTCGTTCTCTGCACAGCAAGATCCCTTCCCCAGCTCAGACAGTGGGATCTCAAGGGACATGCTCCGATCCCACAGACCGCGTTCGAGATTCCAAAGCAGTCGGTTTCTATTCAAACTTCAGGGAGCTTGTTTGAGGACAGAAATAAGCAAACAAACAAAACGTAGAAATCCACTAGCAACATATTGAAATCACCACTCCTGGCAGGTGCAAAGAATAAAATAGTTTTCAAAGTAATTTGGGTAACTTGATAAATGATACAGTCATAACGTGTTCTTTGTGTTCGTCATGGGCTTGTCCTCTGCCCATCCCTAAAAGTTGTGCTGTGGAATTCTGGCCTCGGCTGCTGCTCTTTCTCTGCAGGTGATCTAGTTCAGGCACGTGGTTTTAACAACCACCTGTTCGCTGATGTCCCTCACAGCTCAGTTGCCACCCAGCCCTGTTTCTGAGCCGACTGCCATATCCACTGTGTCCCCACAAACACTGCCAACTTAATGCTTCCAAAATTAAGTGATCTCTTCCCCCTCTGTCCTTTGCTCAAATAAAGCCCGCTTCTACCTTCACCTTCATTCTGGTCTCAGTAGGTGGCTCCTCCATCCAGAAATTTACAAGTCACACTGGACACCTCCATCTCTCAGCCCTGCTGTCAATCAGCCATCAGTTTGGCTTCCTTCTCCGCTCCATCCTCCCCAACCATGCCTTTGTTTGGTTCTCTTACTCAGCATACTTCAACAACCCTCTGATTGTTTCTCCTGCCTCCAGGCTTACACCCCCCACAGAGTACTGTATCTAAAATGCAAATCTGACCCAGACACTTCTCTGTTGGATTCTCTCCACAGTCAGAATACACTTCAAGCTCTCCTCAGGACTGAAGTCCTCCCGTGACCTCTCCTTGCCTCCCCCTAACTCACACTTGTGCAGCCACAAAATGCTTTTAGTTCTCTAAACATATCCTAATGGTTCAGACTCTGCATGATGTCTTTGTCATTCCCTCCGCCTCCCCTCTCTGTACCTGGCCAGCTCCCATTCACACTCAGAGCTCCTTCAGGTGCTGCCCAGCGAGCCTGTCTGTGATGGTGGGGCTTCTGTGTGGCCGGTCATCACGTGAGGCTGGTGGGCATTTGACGGGGCTGACGCTGCTGAGGAATTGAATTTCTCATTTTATTTTGTTTATAATCCACATGTGTATGGAGCTATACATACATTTCTTGGGTTCTTGCTATGTACTGAGTATTGCTAAGCACTGGAGAGTACAGTAACAATAAACACGAATTACCTCCCTTTCTAGTATCTACAGTCCAGTGGGGAAAACAGACACTAAACAAGTAATTTCAAGTGTGACGTGTGGTCCAAAGGGAAACTTGCGAAGTGCAAGAGACTAACTCAGTTTAGGGAGGTGTGTCAGTCTGTTTGCGCTGCCATGCAACATATATTTTCTCACAGTTCTGGAAGCTAGACATCAAAATCAGGGTTCTCTTCAAATTATTCTCTACGTTCAGTACAATATAGATCAAAATCCTAAAAGTATTTTGTTTAGAATTTATCAAGCTGATTCTAGAATTCACACAGAAGAGCAAAGAGCTAAGAATAATAAAAAAATAAAAAATAAGACAATTTTGCAGAAAAATAAGAAGGTGGGATAGCGCTTGTTACTAGATTGTCAAGATTTATTCTAAGGCGACAGTACTATGCATGGAAGTTTGGCGCTGGAAAAACCCGGTAATCCAGTAGAGTGGAAATGATATCAGACGAAGTGGGGGTCCTCTTCCCCACTGGGTGCTGGTAGGGGTGGATTTCTTACGATGTCCCAAGAAAAATCATTTTCTGAGACTCACACAGGAGAATGAGTGATTTTTATTTGCATAGAATTAAATCCCCTGGTTTCCAAAGTTCCGTTTTCCTTAGTCCAGTCCCCTTGCCCCAGTGCTTTGCAGGGAACAGGCCTATATGTCTGGCCTGGCCCTTGCTCCTTTCCTGTTGTTAGTAGCTGGTTAATCACAGCGGTGTCAGAACGAAGAGCCCAGAGCAGACCCTTACATGTGGATCAGTACACGTAACAGGGACGGCACCACACGGCAGCGCCTCTTTGAGGAACGGTACTGGCGCCTCACATGAAAGTCAGTTCCAGGTGGATTAAATTCCTAATGAGAAAAACAAAGTTTTAAAACTTTTAGAAGACAAAGCAAGATAGTATATTTGTAACCTTAAAATACATAAGAAATTCTCTTCAACAATTCCCTTTAAAAAAAAAAGATGAAAAGACAAAGCATACCCAAGGGCAAGCTGTTTGCAAATACATATAATCAGTTAAGAATATATAAAGAAATCATAATAAGAAAAAGACAAACGACCCAGTAGAAAATTGGCCGAGAATGGGAGCAGGAATATCACAGTAAAGGAAGTCCAAGTGGCCTGCAAACTAATAAAAAGATACTCAATCCCAATCATAGTCAGGAAAATCAAATGAGAACATTGAGATAGCGTCCTCCATGAGAGTGGTAGCAATTTAAAAGTTTGACGATAGCAAGAATGAGAAAGGATGTGGAACAATCGGAACTCTTGTGGACTGCTTATAGGAGTAAAAATTGATACAGCCATATCCCGAAGAATATGTCATATATGTGCACAAGGAAATACGTGCACAGATATTCAATTTAGCATTTATTTTCTGTAGCAGAAAATTTAAATTACAAATCTCCTGGATGTCTATCAATAAGTGAATGGGTTAACTATGGTATATACAGTGATTTAAATGAATCAACTGAAACCATATGTAGGTTGCAAAAGAATGCACATTTTTAAAAATATGTTTTTATTGATTTTAGAGAGAGGCAGGGAGTGGGAGAGAGAGAGAAAAACATTGATGAGAGTGAACTGTCAATCATCTGACTCCTGCATGTCCCCTACTGTGGATCGAACCTGAAACCTGGGCACGTGTTCTGACCAGGAATCTAACTGGCAACCTTTTGGTGCATGGACGATACTCAGTCAATTGAGCCACACTGGCCAGGACAAAAGAATGCACATTTTATGAAACCATTTATTGAAGATGATTGAATACACACATGTAAGAGTGAAATACGCAGTCTCTGATGCTGTCTTAATTCTAGCCTGCATTATTCCCCTGGCCTTCAGGCAAATATCTCCTACTGTAGATATGCTAATGATTAGGGGAATTCTGCTTGAGTTTTTGGAAGAACAGCCCCTTGCCATAAGCTACTGTTCCTGAAGAGGTGGAGAAATATTTACAAAATAATGTCTGTGTATCAGAGATTTGCAGGAGCCTTGAGACTGGACTCAGATCATCAGGGGAAGAAAGAGATGTAGAGATTTTGTGATCTTCCTCAGATCCCTGTGGGTACCCAGATGTCCAGGATCATCAATCACTCTTGCCCCTCCCATTTTCTCCCTTGTTGATTTAAAAGAAGCCAGAACTTTGGACTTGGAGAAGATGGATTTGAGAAACCTGTAAGGCCCCTTTATTCTCTTAACTGAGCATCTTTTTGATCAATAAACCTTTCCTTACCCCCAATTCTGACATTTTGAATACTGGCCTTTTAAATCAGGCACATGAACTTTTGAACTGGTAACACATACACAAATACTCAAGTAGATTGCAAGAATGGTCACAGACTCCTTTCTTTCCATGAAGAGTAGAGTCTGTTTTTCCACCTCCTGAATCTGGGTTGGCCATGTGACTTGCTTTGGCCAAAGGGATGTTTATAAACATGAAACAGCAGGAGCTTGAAAAGTACATGTCCATTAGGGCTTGTTGTCATGCCACTTTTCAAAACCCTGCCAGAGATGAGACACGCTGTCCCTGGTTGCTCCCATTGTGCCAGCCAACAGCCAGCCAATGTTCCGAAAAGAGCCACTCAAGTGACTGACAGCTGGCCATGAACACTATGAGCCCAGCTGAAACCAGAAGAACCGGCTGCTAAGCCCAACCCAAACACTGACTTAGAGGGTTGTGCACTAAATAAAGCCAAGTAAATGGTACTTGTTTTAAGCACTTGGTTTTAGGGTGGTGTATTATGTAACAAAAGCTAAATGATACAAAATACTAAACATTACAACACACTGGAGGATACTTATTAATTTAAAGATGGTGTGGAAACAAAAATGTCTGTTATATTACTTTTTGTTTATTTGAAATATTTGACAACTAAAACTGAAAAGTTACCTTGAAGAGGCAGTGAAAAATGAAGAACTAAAAATAGGAAAACGCCTTTCAGTGGCTTAGTTGTTAAAGGGGGAGAGAGGGCCTTGGGCGAGGTCGGAGGGTATAAATACCAAAGGGAAGAAGCCAGTAGAATGGGAGAGGCGGAAATATTGTGGAAAGGGTGCGATTCATGGGTGACGCACGGTTCCTGACCGGGCTAAACAGGTGATGGTGTGGTGAGCACAGATGAGATGACCGGCACAAGCAGCAGGGATTCTTTTTCCTTGGACTGGGAAGGAGGATGGATGTAGATGTAGGCACTTTGCAGTTCTGTTGGCAGGAAGTTGGAGCTCCTTTCTGCCGGCCTCTTTCCTCCCTGTGTTAATAAGCAAGGCCGTCTTCCTGGCCAGAGTGGCTCAGTGGATTGAGCATCATTCCGTGGACTGAGAGGTCCCGGGTTGATTTCTGGTCAGGACATGTGCCCGGGTGCGGGCTCAATCCCCAGTAGGAGGTGTTCAGGAGGCAGTGGATCGATGTTTCTCTCTCACATCAATGTTTCTAGCTCTCTCTTTCCCTTCTCTCTCTAAAAATCAATAAAAACGTATTTAAAAAAAAATTAGCAAGGTCATCTGTTTGAAATGGTCAGGTTTAGATTGGAGACCATTGTGTTTTGTTTTGTTTTATTGAATTTATTGAGGTGACAGTTAATAAAATTACATAGGTTTCGGTGTAGAATTCTGTAATACATCATCTGTATATTGTATTGTGTGTTCACCACTGGGAATCAAATCTCCTTCCATCACCATTACCCTCTCCTACCTCCCCCTCAACCCTCTGCAGATAGTTTTTGAGTCCTTGGGTGAACAATAGGATTGTTGTCAGTGGGAAACAGGCTCTCCCATGGGATCATGAGAAAAGCATTTCAAGGATCCACAAGTGGGAGATTGTGATGTGGGTGCAGCAAGATGATTTCATTGTGACTGCTGCCCCTGAGCTTGCAATGTCCCATCTCCCTCTGTCCCACCACGGAAAATCAGGGCCAGATATAGAATCAACATCCAGAGCTCCCGTGACGTACTAGAGCTTAGTCCTAGGCAGCGTCTGGCCAGCTTAGACTGTGCTCCCCGCTGCACCCATTGCTGTGCTGCTGAGCCAGGCTCCTGCTTCCAACCTGCGTTTGGAGTCTGTGTGGCCATCAGCCACGAGGCTGCTGAGGCCACATGGCCATGGACAGAGAACATTGAATGTGCAGGATAAGTGTGGGTCACAGAGACAGACAGATTAATTGAGATTCTTTCTTCACCTGGAATGATCTATTCTTAGGCTTGGGAGGAACCAGAAGCTTTTCAAAATAACCAATCAGCTTCTCAAACTTTCCTGAGCTTTCAGTGGATCAGCCCCCTGACGAATGATCCCTTTCCCAGGTTAGACTGACAGTCCTCTATGGTTAAGTACCTCCCCTTGTGCCATTTTGACTTAATTGCGCAAGTGTTTACCTCCCCCTTTGTTCTATCCCTTGCCCCAGTGATCTGTGGGGAATGGACTGGTGGCTCCCTGAGTGTGTGTGTGTGTGTGTGTGTGTGTGTGTGTGTGTAGCTGTAGATTCCTGCTGAAGCAAATAAGCCTCTGCTTCCCGGTTGAATATGCTCAATAATGTCTAATTTCCCGTTTGCTTCCTTTCCCATCAATAATGAGCTAACTGCAGTAACAGGATCACTTGCTTAAGTGTGATATTGTGATTTATAATAAGAAATACAAATTTGTTCTTCATCCCTGTCCCTGGCACAGAGGTCCCAGAACTTTTGGAATTTCCCAGGTGATAAAAGTATTTTGATATTCATAACAAACTCCTTTCATCCATACCTGAAGTTATGTTAATAAGTGACTTTGGGATCCTCGGGGTGGGGCTGCTCGCCAGGGGAACAAACCTTGTGACTGGAGGGTTGGACTTCCAGTCCCACCGTCGGAGACGGGAGAGGGGCTGGAGGCTGACTTGATTCCTGATGGCCAGTGACTTAATCAGTTATGCCCGTGGAGTGATATGTCCATAAACACACAAAGGGTGCGGTTCGGAGAGCTTTCAGGTTGGTGAACACCCAAGATTTGGGAAGGGTGGGGCACTCAGAGAGCTTGGAGCTCTGCACCCCTTCGCACCCCCTTTCCACGTGCCTTACTCTGCATCTCTTCCGTCTGCTATTCCTGGGAAGTGAGATTCTTCTCTCAATCCTGTGAGCCACTCTAGCAGTTTAATCAAACCAGAGGAGGAGATGTGGGAACCTCCGATCTATAGCTGCTTGGTCAAAGCAAAGGTGACAACCTGGGCTTTTGGCGTCTGAAGTGTGGGCGGATGGAGGGCATGGCGGTCCTGCGGGCAGTACCTGCTGCCGTCTCCAGGTACAGCAAACCGCGGTTCTCCAGCGTCTCCCACCCGAACACTCCGGCTCTCAACCAAGTTGTTCATGGAAAACTGTCTCGGTGTGGAGCAGAACTTCCGCTCTGGACCTGCCAATCCTTTCATGCTGACACCTCAGCATGACAAGAAGCGTCTCCCGGTCTCAGGCCACAGCAAAGGAGGGAATGTGGTGCTGAGTCCGTTAGTAGCGAAGCCTCCTCTTGTTAACATCTCAGGAAATGGTGCTATGAATATTTTTGTAGGTTTTTGGTTGTTGTTTATTTTTTTATTTTTTTTTATTTTTTTGCTTTTGTCGCTGGCAAAATGGAGGCTCAGCACAATTTTAAAACATGAAGGGCCATCAGGAGCGCTAACGTTGCAAAGGGTGTGAAAGGAACAAGATCACGGGCAACTGAGGAGGTAGGAAAACTGTCGATCTGGGTAAATGCAGAGCAGGGAGTGGTAGGGCAGTTTGGAGGCACTGCTGTGAAAAAGTGAGATGCTGCCTGCTGACCTGCCGGGCACCGCGGGAGGGAGCCCTGGGGTGGTGGGTAAGGCCATAGGTGGCGGTCAGACACATTTGCGAAAAGCAGTGTTTGTTTATAGATTAAACAGTACATTAGACATGTCCTGTATACAGGAAAGGTTGAAAGGGAATCATTTAGGGGTCTGGAATGAATGAATTCAATCTACTTTATTTCTAATGGGAGACAATGATTCTGTTTTTGAACAAATTGCTTGTCGAACAGCCTCCCAGAGCGATTTAAGTTCAAGAACCGAGGCTCCACTGTAGATGGTGTCAGAACTGAGTTGACCTGAAGGGTATCCAGCTGGTGGCAGAGCATTGCTTGGTGGCGTGGGGGAAGCACAGGCACGGGGATGGGGTCCGAGTCGCACTAGGATAACACAGTAGGATTGCTGGCATCACTGGCGGTCCCGTTGAGTTAGGACCACCTCCCCCAGGCGTCCGTCTGTCTTTCTGTGTCAGTACGCAGCATCCCGAATAAAGGCCTAGACAAGTGAGAGTTGGACCATTTAGAGTTGGAGTTTTGTTTGGTAGGCGGGGTGGTGGCCAAGTGTGTCCCAGGAACCGAAGCTGGGTGGGCAGTACAGTGAAGCAGAGAAGGGCGGATTGAGGACTGTTGTTTCGTGATCTCCGAGTTGCCTTTATCTGCCTGTTTGTCTGCCACACAAGATTGTAAGCTCTTTAAAAATAAGGGTCTTTTTATTCATCATTGTTACCTATAGCATTCTGCATACTGTCTAACTGATAATAAGCTCTCCATAAACTGTTGTTGGATTAAATAAGTGGCTTAAGATTCTGTTCCTTGAAGGCCATGGTTACATTCTCCTGCAACTTTTTCCAGGCAAAACAAATCCTGTTCTTATTTTTTTCCATTGGTTCTAATTGCTCTAATTTTAGTTTTCTCTTCAGAACCATCTTTAAGAAATGGGGAGGTGTTGGAGAGGTTAAAGCGTGTAACTTCCAGAGGAATAGTTCAGGGACTTCACGTGCAGCATAGTTAGTGACTGCCACTTAGTCACCAAGACCGTGTGATAGAGCTGCAGTGACTGAGGAGAGCTCAGGTGTTCTCAGCACAAAGAGTAATTGTAGGAGGAGCTTATTGCAGGGATTATTTCACAATATGTATCAAATCAGCACCTTGTCCACCTTAAACTCATACAATGTTGTGTCCATTATCTCAGGAAAGCTGAAAATACAAGTTCTTTCCCATGCGAGCGCCACACTGCTTTCTAAGGAGCAGTCTCTTCTAGGGAAGACCTTGTCTGAGTGAGTCACCTCCAATGTCCTCTAGCCAGTTTAATCCAGGAGATGAATTCCGAGGACCCAGCTGTACGGGACAATGCTGTGCTCAGGACAGAAAGGAGGCTGCTGCTCACAGAGGAAGACTGGGACGAGGACAGATGCAGGGCCGCCTCGGACAGGACGGTGATCAACCCTGCACACGCTCCCGCGGAGGGCTGCGGTTCCTGCGCGGACGTACGTACACGGGGTACACGGGCGCAGCGAGGGCGCCGGCGAGCGGGCGTATTGTTTGGTCTCAAACCGTCTGGTGAGGCTGAAATCGTTTTTTTTTCCTGATTCACTAGATTTATTTTCCACAAGGAAATATAAACTCTGATTTTTTTTTTCTTGTTCCTTCTGGGTCATCTTTAAACAACCCTTTGAGTTTGTTTTAATGGAAATTTGGCCTCTCCACCCCCTGAGCTTGTGATCATATTTAAGCTGTACTGTTAGGGTGTATTCTACTAACTTATATTTCCAATTCATACAGCCACAGCTGGGGTCCCTTGATCTGGCCACCCTTGTTTCAGACCTAGCCCCCTGACATTCATGCTCATAATCAGATCTCCCGATGCAAAGCGGCCCCCTGAATTTGGGGCCCTTTGGTATGGGTGGTGAAAAGAAATGACCCTACTCGCCACATGTAATTGATAGCCTCTTGGTTTGTATACGTATAGATCAGAGTTGTTTTTGAAATGTGTTTCTTTGTTTTTATGGTAACCTGTGCCCTGCAGAACGCAGATGAAGTAAACACAGGTAAGTCAGCATCTCTCTTCCCACTGTGTATGATTTATTTAGGATCAGTGTTTATTGACTGGAGCTTCCAGACCTTAAATGACAGCCTCTGGGCTTACAAACAACCGTGAACAGAACCTGCTGGGCACCCAGTTCTTGCTGGTGGAGGGAACAGCCCTCGGAGGCTGTCTCTCTTTTCTCTGGGCCAGTCTTCTGTGTAAACTGAATTCAGCTATTCCGTGTCTTCCAGTTGACACTTAGCTGCTCAAGGGATCCAGAGTTTCTGTTGCTCAGCTCAGAAGCTCATTATGCCAAATGGAACAAAAAAGTCAGTCTTTGGAGAAAAGCTCTTTTTAAAGGCATAATTCAAATTTGAAGCATAGACATAGCCATCATTTATAATAATACATCACACAGATTGTCATGTCAAATGAAGATGTCATTTTAGTTGTGTGTGTGCATATGTATGTGCGTGTGTGGGGGTGTGTGTGTGTGCATGTGTGTGTGGGGGGCCTGTATGTGCATGCGGGGGGCGTGTGTGCATGTGTGTGCACATGCCTACATGTGTATGCATGGGAAGTGTGGCTCTGAAGCTTTAAAGTAGCTTTCTTCTGAATGTGAGATAAAGAACTGATCATAGTATTGAACTTTTCTTTTTAATATTTGAAATGACCCCACTGCCAGAAGCCTTCTTGGCATCTGTGGAGAAGGATGCAAAGGAACGAGCCAAGAGAAGGCGGGAAAACAGAGTCTTAGCGGATGGTAATTGTCCATCTTCACTTTTCAGTAGCTGGGCTGCTTTGTGCTGGAGGAGCACATGGGTCTGCCTGCTGACATTTGAGGACACGAAGGTTCCCAGTGGGTGGACTCATGGTGGGCGTCAGCAGGGGGGCCTGGCCAGGCAGAAGTCGTTGATGGGTGGTCTGTCCTCTGTCCCTGATGCTACAAAGAGGGAGCAAGACGTAGCCGTCGGTCAGCCCCCACAGTCCGACCTGTTTCTGAAGCCTAGAGGTGGAGCCAGCGGGTGGATTGGCACTGCTGAGCAGTATGGGACGTGGAGTGTGTGCCACACAGCCTGAGCAGAAAGGAAGAAATGCAGGAGAGAAGGCACCAGGAAAACAGCTGTGAGAAGGGAGAGGGGAGATGCAAAGGAGACAGGTCGTGTGTGTGTCAGGGACACAGGCAGAGAGTGCTGTCAGCTTTGATTGTATGCCAGCGAGTGGCTTGTGAGCTGCAGACTGAATAAGACCATATTTGCTAGAAAATTAGTTGTTTGACCTCTTTATGAAACATTGAGTGTGCAGACTTGGTCTTTGTGGCAAGCTGGGAGTGATTCTCAGCCTCGAGGCAGAAGCATCTACTTTTTCTGAGAAGTTTCTTAGGAGACTTGGTGGGATGTGGAGAAAAGAGTCCTTGAAGAAGCCAGTCCTGAAATATCTGAGAGAGAAACAAGTGGTGGGTCCCCTCGGGGTCGGTGCCTGCGATGACCTCCCTTCACGTTGGGGTTGGAAAGTGAGGGGATGAGCCTGGAAGGGCTTCCGCGTGTGGGAGAGCTCACCTGTGACCTGTCCTCACAGCCCTGAAAGAAAAGGGGAATGAAGCGTTTGCCAGGGGCGCCTACGAGACGGCCGTCCTGTGCTACAGCGAGGGCTTGGAGAAGCTGAAGGACATGAAGGTGCTGTATACCAACCGGGCCCAGGTCAGTGCCCGACGTGCACGGGCTTCCTCAGGCAACAGAGCCACTAACCCTGGGAACTCCAAGGAAGATGGGACTAGATGGGGCCCGTGGTGTGACCGCACCTGGCTCAGGCTGGGGTGTGCGGGAAGCTGACTCGTGAGGCGTTTTTGCCAATTTCCGTGGTGTAAATACTCTCCCCGTGGCCCAGTTGCAAGCTGCCAACTGCAGATCATTGAAGGAGGGCTTGGGAAGAGCTATGTGATCAGCTCTCTCCTCAGTGTGAGTCGGCTCCAACACATCGCTGGTGGCACCAGACACTCTCCTGTGCATAAGGAGAAATGACCCAGGAGACCCTGGGATTCAGCCACCCTGGATTTGTCCAGCCTCCTTTCCAGTGGTGGCTGGCTCTTGAGGGCTACCCTCCTGTCAGTTCTTCCTCGTTGCGTCAGTCTGTCTCTGAGATTCCAGGGCTGCTTTGCCTGCACAGCAGATGGGCCCAGAGCCGGTTTTCTGAAATCCCTGATACCTCGATTTTATATCACAGATGAGCTCAGTTTTCTGGAATTCCAGGTAAAAACTCATCCAGATGTGTTTTATCTACTACTTAATGAAGGGAAAAGGTTGATGGTTCTCAGTTGAAACAGAAATGTCACCCATGACCTTATCTTTGAAAAGTGCTTGAGTTTGCGTGTGGTCGAACTCTCTGTGGCTCAGGCCTGAGACACTGACAGGTTCATGGCCATCATCCTTCGATGGTCAGCATCTGTCAGCAGGACGTGTGAGAGGAACTGGACTCCCTGTCACTCAGCAGAGGAAGAGCCCTCGCCAGGTCCAGCTTCTCTGCTCAAGACGGGGACGCCCTGCTGTGGGTGCTAAGGCCGCGTGTGCAAACAAGGAACAGCACCTTCATATTTCTTAAAACGTGGACAAGCAAAAAACGGCCAGGAAGTTGTAGGTGTTGAATCCAAGCTCAGGAGGCCAAAAAGTTTGGGAAGTGACTGTGATTTAAAGATAAATCATCCCGAGCACAATATAACTCATTAGTTCAGCAGTTTTTTTAAGTTAGACTAGAGTTGAGATGTCATTTACTTAGTTCAATTGTGGAGAAAATTTGTTATAAAGAAGCGATTGGTAAATAAAGTGGCTGAAGGTTGATATAGCGGCGAACACTGTATCACCCTAACGAGATCACACACTGTTTGAGGGCAAGAGCTGCCGTGTACTTCCTCCTGGTGCTTTATTTACCGACGTTCAGTAAATCCTCGTCATGTTTCATACCACTGGAGCACAGAAGCCCATTTAAGAGAATTAAGTTTCTGTTGACCCATCAGTTGTGCAGAAAGAAACATTTTAAATGCAAAAATTAATATAATAATTATAGTTCCTCTTTATCACTAAATTTGGTCTTTGAAACATTTACCCACTGATGCTTGTTCAGTCTTGTTACTTTGAAGTTATTTGAAAGCAATAACATTGAATTGCTTTTAAAATATTATGTAATTCAGACGTATCTAATTCAGATGGTCTGTACCCTGATTCATCTAAATTAGTTACATTTTTACTGTACTCAGGTTTCAACAGCACTTTGATTAGTTCTAGAGAATCATATTAAGAATGACTGTAGATAAAATAAGAAAATGCAATGAGAGCTTTGGCGAAACAATTCCCAAAGAGAAGCTTAATTTGGAGACAAGTAACTGCAAAATGTGCTGCCTGGTGTTAGAATCATTTGGATCACTGACTGTTTTCAAGATGCCGCCTGTCTGCAGGCAGTGTTAGGAAACATGTACTAAGGACCCTGTGAACTGGGGTTTCTGCTTGGAGAGGGACCCTCCCTTTCATCGCCTTGTTTTTCTCCTGGGGCTAATGTTATGATCAATAGATTGCTGGTGTGATTTAGATAAATCATTTGGAAAAAGTAGTTCTTAAAGTGTGGAAAAGCAAAAGAGAACGGGGAAGTTATAGGATGGCGAATCCAAGCTCTAAAAAAGAAAAGAAAGTTAAAGGCTGCAGAGAAAAATTGTTGAAGCCCATATAGATACAGACCTTTTTGGAGTCTGTGTGTCATGAACTCATGGCTACAGCTGTCTGGAGGGTGCTGGTTCCTTCCTCACATCCTCCGACTTTCAAGTGCAGCCCAAACGCTGGAGGACAGGATGGTGCTTTGCAGAACAGACAGCGCAGTCGTCAGCTTCAGTGAGCGCACAGTCCCGGTTAGTGGAAGCCCAGCAGAGCAGCCTCCTTCCTAGGGTGGGGGTGGGAAGAGTGGCTCCGCAGGAATTCCTTAGCTGGCTGCTGCCGGCTCCCTCCTCACTCTGGTTGGAGGTTCCGCAGGAGTCACCAGTATTTCTGGGGCACTTGTTTAGAACACAGGAGTTATACCACTGACCCCGTAATTGGCTTGACCATGTGAATAGGTCACCAGCTTTATGGCTGGGAACGTCCTGGTGCCCTGGTCAAACCTGCGTGCAGCATCGGCTCTGCTGCGGGTGACTGACGGGACTGCAAACTTGATCCTCCTGCTGCCTGGTTCTCCTTTCTCATAACCGGATCCTCATTGCTGCTTTTCAGGGAACTTTCCAAAGGGAGAGTGCTTAAAGTCCACTCAGTGCACCTCGAGGAGAATCCACTGCCACCCCTGTGCCCGCCATCAGTGCAGAGGCCCGGAAGCCGTGGTGCTGGCCTTAGAGAGGCTTCTGTTTGTTTACATGCCACTGGGTCTTTGAAACTAGGGGTGAACGGAATTCGGCTGTCTGGGTCGCAATACTCTGAGTCAACCCTTGACTTTCCAGACTTTCTCCAGTTCTAGGGGATCTCGAAAGAGGACCAAAGACTCATGGTGATGGTCCAACTCTTACATGTAAGCCCATTGCCTGTATCTCTTTCTTCTTGCTGTGCTCATGAGGAAAGATGAACTTTTTCTGTATATATTTTTTGTAACAGCCTTATTGAAATACAGTTGGCATACACGTCACCTTAAAGTGTACAATTCAGTGGTGTTTGGAATATTCAGAGTTGTGCAGTCATCACCATGATCAACTTTAGGACATTTCATTATCCCGGAAAGAAACCCTATAAGCAGCTTACCCACCCTCATTCTGTTTCTCCCCTGCCCCAGCCCTAGATGTGAATATTCTAGAAGGAAACCAAATGATAGAGAATAAAAAGGATAATAACAAGTGTTGGTGAGAGTGTAAAAACATCGGAACCCTCATAACAGCTGGTGGGAATGTAAGATGATACAGCCACTTTGCCAGACAGCCTGGTAGTTCCTCCAAAGATGCAGCATAGTTACTGTGACCCAGGAGACCTCCCCGGGTATCTACCCAAGAGGACCATAAACACACGTTCACAAAAAACGTGCACACAAATGTTCCCAACCACATTACCCACAATAGTCAAAAAGTAGAAACAATTTAAATGTCCATCAACTAATGAATGGATTAAAAAAATGTGGTACATCCACACAATGGTACTTATTCAACAATAGAAAACAATGATCCATATTACAATATGGATGAACCTTGAAAACATTACGTTAAATAAAAGAAGCCAGACACAGTAGGTAAAATATTACATGATTTCACTTTTATGAAATGCCCAGAATTAGTAGATATGGAGAGAGAAGGTACAGCAAGTCCCCGAATAACATAGTTTTGTTCAGAGTCATTTTGTTATTATGTTGGTGAGATGCCCCAGGAACTTAAGTCATTTATATTAATTAGCTTCTGATAAAATTGGTTTCATTATATGTCATTTTGCTTAGAGCTGCAGAAACTGGACTTGCTGTCGACTCCTGGTTGGGGTGGACTCTAGGAGCGAGCTCCTCCTCTTCGATGTGTTCAGTGTGCTGCGTCTTTTGCCCTCCAGACCCTTTCCTGCCCTGCTCTGTGCCCTGAGAACTGACCTCTGTGGGCTGGCCCCTTGACCTCCTGCTTTGTAGCTCCCATCTGGGTTCAGCCAAAGAGATCAGAAGGAGGAGGACGGTGACACTGGGTCTTTATTCCCCCAGCTTCGGCTCTACGAAAGGTTGCGGCCGTTGGGCAGTGCGTTTCACCCAGCTGCCCTCTCCTGTCGTGCTCACTGCCCCTCCTGCCCTGCAGCTCCGGCAGCACTGACGGTGCCCACTGTTGCCAGCCCTGGTTCTGTGATGCTCCTGTTGTTTCCCTAAGTCCTGCACTCATCTTGCACACAGTCCCTTTTTGAACTGTCTCATCGCCGTCCGCATGCGAATGGCGCCTGTTTGTGCTGGGCCCTGGCTGGCACGGGGAGGGGCCGGTTCGTCTGGCGTGGGACTGCTCGGTGCCAGCAGAGGGATGCGTGCTGCGGGCTGCACATGAGCAGCAGCTATCTGTGTGTTTCAGGCTTACATGAAACTCGGCGACTACCAGAAGGCACTGGTGGACTGTGACTGGGCTCTGAAGGTAAGGATGCTGGCGCTGGGCGTCTTGGCCAGATGCTTCAGCCCCGGGCGAACAGAGGGGAACGGAGTGGTGGGAAGGGGTCCGGGCGCTGCAGTCAGAGCCTCGGTTTCCTCTTGGAGAAAAGGGCTAGGATTTTCTGAGCGTTATGATAATATACCTAAACGACCCACCTCTTTGGACGTGCTCCGGAGAACTGCCCTTCCTACCGGGTTTTCAAGGGTTGCCGGGCCTGGCATCCTGGGCTGCTGCTGTCAGACCCCTGGCTCCTGTGGTGGTGCCGCCGCCTCTTTCTGGAGCCAGTGGGAGCTCTCTCTGCAGTGTCGCTCATCCCCTGCAGCTCTAAGGGTTTGAAAATGTTCCATAGCAACCCCCGATTGTAGAGGGTTCCTCAGAGGAAGGAATTCCTGCTGTTCAGCCCGGAGACTACCCAGGCCTGGGCAGACAGCACAATGTGTGCTTGGTATTTCCTCGGAAATCCCCCCAGTGCGCATCGACGGTGGGGGAATAGGACCACTGGTGGAAATACCAGAAGAGCTTTTAGAGCGAAGTTCATGGTCACTTCTTAGGGGTATTATTTCAGATGACGAGGTAGACAGACCTTAACCCCTGTTTCCCACATTACTCTGTCAGGTGGGGCTGTAACTGGACCACCAGAACGGGTGCTGCTCACGCTCCCCAAAGTGCCCCCACAGAACGAGCGTGAGCCCCGGGGGTCTAGAAGTGAGAGTGGGAACTTTCTTTTTAGCCGTGTTTTATCCTTAAAATCCTTGTGAATTTTGCATTGCACTCCATAAAGTTTATGTCTTAATATATTCATATTTTTTTAAATAACATAATCAAGTACAATCGAAGTGTCAGGAGAACGTGCCAGATTTATCTTGGGACTCAGTTCTGCGGAGCAGCCCCCTCGCGCCGCTGAGTGCGCGCGGTGGGGGTGGGGGGAGGGGGTGTGGGGGAGGGGGGATTGAGTGCCGGGGGTGGGGGGGACTGAGTGCCGGGGGAGGGGTTAGGGGACTGAGTGCAGGTGGTGTGGGGTCTGAGTGCAGGGGGGGAAGGGGGGAGGGGAGGGGGGAGTGCGCCGGGGAGGGGAGGGGGTGGGGGGACTGAGTGCCGGGGGAGGGGTTAGGGGACTGAGTGCAGGGGGAGGGGTTAGGGGACTGAGTGCGGGTGGTGTGGGGGCTGAGTGTGGGGACTGAGTGCAGGGGGAGGGGTTAGGGGACTGAGTGCGGGTGGTGTGGGGGCTGAGTGTGGGGGGCGCTGAGTGCCCGGAGCGGGAGGGAGGGGTGCGAGCACGTGGGCCGGGACAGCAGCATGCTGGCGCGCCCACCTCCTCCCGTGGTGTTGAGAGGGTGAGCCGGGGAGACAGCAATGAGCTACAGTTCACCTCTGCTGATATGGTTGTGAAACACTGGGGCCTCCGAAGCTGCCGCCTCGGGACGTCTGGTGGCAGATCTCGCCCTGTCCGTGCTCGTCTGTCAGTCACAGGAGCTGCCCGGAGTGGGAGACCTCGGGGCCTCTGACGGCTGGGTCCCTGCGCTGGGCCGCGCTGTCGGTCTGCCATGTCCTGTAAGAGAAGAGAGGACGTTTCCTCTGCTGTCCCCAGGGTGACAGCGGAAACCACCCTTGGCTCTGGCTGGCCTCATCAGTCTACTCGGTTCAGTGCCACTGTTGGCCTTACTTTCCTGACACGGAAACCTAGCTCGGAGGTCAATGCAGCCACCCTACGCGGGGCCAGTGTCGGTGTGACAGTAACTGGTGCTCTGAACCATCTACTGGAGCAACCCCTTCATGGAGACCTTGAACCCCAAGTCCCTGGCTGGGGGTCTCCTCCCTTCTGTGGAAGAAACAGAGTCGCTGCTGGGGGCTTCCAGAAGCATCTTTTCTGATTTGAAACGACCAGAGCGTGGTCGCACCGTCGTGCTGCCTCAGGATGACACACTGGCCTGTCCCCAACGTTCACTGAAGCCCAGTGAGGTTGACAGTGAAGCTCAGGAAAGCAGCCCGCGGAGCCGACGCTGGGGGGCGCTCGTGGGGAAGGGCAAACACCTGGAGCCGGAGCAGATGTCAGGTTCTAAGCCAGCGGTGGTCAGGCCTGCGCCAGGCTGAGTTGAGTCCCACTCGCTGAAAGTCCTGCCTCCGCCGTGAGTGTCCGTGGCACCCCATCACTGATAGTGCTCATACTTTCATGCCACTTTAATCGTTCTGACATGTCCGAACTACGGAGACGAGCCCAGCGATGATCGTCAGGACTGCTGCTCCCGTCAGGGAGACGAGGCGACAGCTGGTTTCAGCGGCGGTCAGACGTGCTGTCTCAGCAGAGCACTTCCTGGAAGGAACCCCCTCCGAGGCAGGACTCTGGGGCGGGTTCTCCTGAGGTGACCCTGGTGAAGGTCCACACGCGTGATGGAAGAAGAGAGAGAAAATCCATTAGCAGCCCTCTGCCTCAGTGACTAGGAAGGGAGTCACAGCGACACCCCTTCTCGCTGGCCCACCGCGGGCGGGCGCCAGGCTCTGGGGCTCGGCTGGCTCTTCCCTGCGTGTGGCCTGGTGCGCTGCCGGTGACAGCTCTGTGGACACGTGGCTCCCGTGGGCTCAGGGCTGCCGTGTCTTCCTCCCTGGACCGTGCCTTCCCACTGCCTCCGTCCCGCCGACCCCGCCGTCCGGGACTTCCCCGGGGCTCAGTCCTCGGCTCCCTGCCTCTTCTCTGCGGGTCTCCTCCGAGCTCCCTGCCGTTTCCTCCCCTGGCCCGTCTCCTCTCCGCCAGGGGCTCTCAGACCGCACAGCCCCGCGTACCCCCGCCCTGCCCCAGGCTGCGCTTCAGCCTGCCCTCCCTGCCTCTTCTCTGCGGGTCTCCCCCGAGCTCCCTGCCGTTTCCTCCTGTGGCCCGTCTCCTCTCCGTCAGGGGCTCTCAGACCGCACAGCCCCGCGTGCCCCTGCCCTGCCCCAGGCTGCGCTTCAGCCTGCCCTCCCTGCCTCTTCTCTGCGGGTCTCCTCCGAGCTCCCTGCCGTTTCCTCCCCTGGCCCGTCTCCTCTCCGCCAGGGGCTCTCAGACCGCACAGCCCCGCGTGCCCCTGCCCCGCCCCAGGCTGCGCTTCAGCCTGCCCTCCCTGCCTCTTCTCTGCGGGTCTCCCCCGAGCTCCCTGCCGTTTCCTCCCCTGGCCCGTCTCCTCTCCGCCAGGGGCTCTCACACCTCACAGCCCCGCGTGCCCCCGCCCTGCCCCAGGCTGCGCTTCAGCCTGCCCTCCCTGCCTCTTCTCTGCGGGTCTCCCCCGAGCTCCCTGCCGTTTCCTCCCTGGCCCGTCTCCTCTCCGCCAGGGGCTCTCAGACCGCACAGCCCCGCGTGCCCCTGCCCTGCCCCAGGCTGCGCTTCAGCCTGCCCTCCCTGCCTCTTCTCTGCGGGTCTCCCCGAGCTCCCTGCCGTTTCCTCCCTGGCCCGTCTCCTCTCCGCCAGGGGCTCTCAGACCGCACAGCCCCGCGTGCCCCTGCCCCGCCCCAGGCTGCGCTTCAGCCTGCCCTCCCTGCCTCTTCTCTGCAGGTCTCCCCCGAGCTCCCTGCCGTTTCCTCCCCTGGCCCGTCTCCTCTCCGCCAGGGGCTCTCAGACCGCACAGCCCCGCGCGCCCCCGCCCCGCCCCAGGCTGCGCTTCAGCCTGCCCTCCCTGCCTCTTCTCTGCGGGTCTCCCCCGAGCTCCCTGCCGTTTCCTCCCGTGGCCCGTCTCCTCTCCGCCAGGGGCTCTCAGACCGCACAGCCCCGGTGCCCCTGCCCTGCCCCAGGCTGCGCTTCAGCCTGCCCTCCCTGCCTCTTCTCTGCGGGTCTCCCCCGAGCTCCCTGCCGTTTCCTCCCGTGGCCCGTCTCCTCTCCGCCAGGGGCTCTCAGACCGCACAGCCCCGGTGCCCCTGCCCTGCCCCAGGCTGCGCTTCAGCCTGCCCTCCCTGCCTCTTCTCTGCCAGTGGCACCTGATGCTGTCCCGGCATTTGAACCCGAAACTGGACTTGACCTCCTTCATCCCCCTTGTCATTTATGGTCAGTTGATGCTGCTCAGGTCTTTCTTTGACAGAGCTCTGGTATCTGCATTTTCCTGTCACTGGGGTGTCAGGTGTCAGCCCCTCATTCTGAGTGATTGTTTGGTCCCCTCCCTTACCCCCTGCCTTCTCCTCGAGCAGTTCTGCACACTGACACCCGACCAGCTCCTACCCACGGCCGCAGGTCACTCATCCTCCTCGGGCCGGCGTTCAGGGCCTCCCTGGGGAGACACTGTCCAGCTGTCTCCAGCCTGATCTGCCTCCGCCCAGCGCCTGCTCCGGTGCGGGCCCTCCACTGCAGCCGGGTACTCTGACCTCTGCACCTCGCTCAGCCCGTGCTCCCGTCCTCTGTCCTCAGCTGCACGTCCAGCTCTGGCCCGTCCTCCTGTGCGTGCCCTTCGTCAGACGGCACTTCTCCAGCGCGCATTTCCTCCTCGCGAGCTGCTGCCCACTCTTCTCAAGAGATGTGGTGTCAGAGTCAGGCCTCTGGGGCCTGGAATATAATGGCCAGATTTTAAATCCCAGCTCTTCCACTTACCATCTGTGTGACCTTGAACCTCTCCAACCCTCAGCTTCCTCATCTGCAAGATGGGGACAATAACTGTACTTCATAGAGTTGCTATAAGGTTTGTATGAAATAATTTATGAACCGTAAGGAAAGGACTGAACACAAGTGCACTATTAGTAGTATTATTACTGCCATTCACTTAGCAACAGTCCGGAAATGGCAGTCATGAGAATTCACGCACCTGTATAGAGCTCTCCAAGAACACTGACTGTTACCTCTCCTATTGTTACTTCACTTCTCTTTAATTTTCTCTTTCGTCCTGAAATGGGTTGCTATTGTAACCACAGCCCCTGATTCCTGATTCCCGCCTTGCTGGTGTTTGACAGGCATTTCCTGCTCACAATGAGAGGGAGAGGGAGGGAGGGAGAGGGAGAGAGAGGGAGGGAGAGAGAGAGAGTTTCAGAGAGAGACAGAGAGAGAGAGGGAAAGAGAGAGACAGAGAGAGAGGGAGGGAGAGAGGGAAAGAGAGAGACAGAGAGAGAGGGAGGGAGAGAGGGAGAGAGAGACAGAGAGAGAGAGGAAGGGAGAGAGGGAGAGAGACAGAGAGAGAGAGAGGGAGGGGGAGAGAGAGAGTGACAGAGAGAGACAGAGACACTATAATCATCTTCACTTTCCATGTGAGGAAAGTGCGCATCGGAAAACTCAGGTGGCCTGGCCAACACCCCGACATCCCACTTCTGCTGAGAGCCACACGGGTTCACCCAGGACATGTTAGACACCTCGACTTCATGCTTAACCTCTTTAAATCTAAACCCTGAAGGGCATCTGACCCGGCCATGCCTTGCACATAAAAGGGATTCATCACTTAATCGGATGTTTTGAATTACAGTGTGTGTCTGCCAGCCATTCCCTCCTGAGTGGCATGATCAGGAGCAGCAGGGGCAGGGCCTGTGCCCAGGGCTCGGCTCAGCCCTGAAACGAAGGCTGACAGTATCTCGAACTAGGTGGATGGAGCGCGTTCTTGTGTGTCCAGGCTCCTTGCAGGCGCAGTCAGTTGGGCCCCAGATGCACGCAGACGCTGTAGTTGTCTACTCTGGGAGCTTCCTGAGATGAAGCTCGGCTTGACCTCCGCTGGCTGGATGGCGAGCGGGGTGCTGACCACTCAGCTCTCTGACACATCTGATCAGCCTCTCTTCCACGCAGTGTGACGAGAAATGCACGAAAGCCTATCTGCACATGGGAAAAGCCCACCTGGCCCTGAAGAACTACGGCGTGGTAAGTGCTTAAAGGGGCGTGAGCGCACGTGTGGTCCCAGCACGGCCTCGCCGTCTCGGGAGAGCCATGTCCCCCGGCCGGTTAGAGATCGCCCACCTTAGTGTTTCCAGGGCAAGCTTGAGCCTTCGAGTTGGGAAGGATGTTGGGGGTCATCCAGGACAGCCCCCCTGCTGAGGGAACCCCTCCGCAATATCTCTGCCAGTGTTCAGCCCCGGGGAAGCATCCCTGGAGAGAAAGGGAAGCAAACAGATGGAAACAAAATGCACCCATCACCTCATCACCACACCGAGTATTAGGTACTGTTAGCAGCAGCCTCACTGAGGTGTCATTCACACACCAAACAGTCTGCCTGTGGAGAAGATACAAGTCACTGGTGTTTGGTATATTCACAGATTGTGAAGACATCACTACAGTCAATTTTAGAATATTTTTGTCAGATCCCCCAAAAGCCCTATCTATACCCATTAGCAGGTACTCCCTTTCCATCCACCCCCAACTCAACCCTGGACAACCACTAACCTACCCTGTCTCTATTCGAGCCTTTTCATCTAAATAGTCACACAGTACGTGGTCTTTGTGCCTGCCCTCTTGCACGCACCAGAGTGTTTGCAAGGTTCGTCCCAGGGGTGGTATCAGGGTGTCATTCCGTTCACTGCTGAACAGTATTCCGTTGTATGGAGACACCACACTGTATCTGTCCATCGGCTGAGGAGCGTTTGGGTTGCTGACACTTTGGGCTGTTGTGAACATCCACGTACAAGTCTTTGTGTGCATTTGTTTATGAGCCTCTTGACTGTGAACAGTGCCTGGGGCGGAGCTGCTGAGTCGCATGATACTGTGATTAACCTCTGGAGGAACTGCCCAGTTTCTCCCAAAGTGGCGGAACATTGCCTCCAGCAGTGCGTGGTTCCAGCTCCCCACACCTGGAGAAAGGCCAGTACTTGTTACGTCTGTCGTTCTGACGGTAGCCATCCTGGCACGTGTGAAGTGCACCTCATTGTGGTCTGGATTTGTATCCCCCTGATTGCTCATGATGCTGCGCATCTTTTCATGACTCACTGGCCATTTGCATGTCGTCTTTGGAGAAATGTCTCTTCACATCCTGGCCATGTTTGTATTATGGGTACAAGTCCCTTATCGAATAAGTGATTTGCAAATATGTCTGCCCCCCTTTGTGCTGTACCTTCACTTCCTGACGGTGTCCTTGGTCATACACGGTTTTAAAATCTGACGAACCCTGAAGGACCTACATTTCCTTTGTTTGCTTGTGCATTCAATGTCATTGTCTAATCTGAGATTTCCTCTGTGTTTTCTTCTAAAAATTTTATGACTTCAGCTCTCAAATTTAGATCTCTGATCCACTTAGAGTTAATTTTTGTACATCGTGTGAAGAAGGGATCCAGCTTCACGCTTTTATATGGAGATGTCCCTTCGTCCAAGCACCGCTTCTGGAAGGAGTGTTGTCTATGGGGATGTCCGGTCCCTGGACTGCTTCTAGAAGGAGTGTTGTCTGTGGGGATGTCCGGTCCCTGGACCGCTTCTCGAAGGAGTGTTGTCTGTGGGGATGTCCGGTCCCAGCACCGCTTCTAGAAGGACTGTTATGTTTCCCACTGAATGATTTTGGCACCTTGTCAAAAATCAATCAGTCATAAATGCACGGGTTTATTTCTGGACCCTCAGTTTTGTTCCACTGATCTATGTTTCTCTTCTTATGCCTGTACCACATTATCTTGATTCCTATAGTTTTGTAATAAATTTTGAAACAGGAGCAGTCTAACTTTGCTCTGCCTTTTCGAGATTATTTTAGCTATTCTGGGTTTCTTGATCACCAACACATTTCCGGGTCATCTTGTCTATTTCCACGAAGAAGCCCGATGGAATTCTGACGGAGAGAGCAGCGGTCTGCAGGTGGATTTGGGGAGTACTGCCGGCTAAACCATATTAAGTCTTTCAACCCGTGAATGGAAGCCTTTTCATTTACCAGATGTTAGACTTTTAAAAGAAATGGTCTCCTAGTGTTCATTTGAAAAAATTACTTTCTTTGTTGGACTTTAATTCTAAAAGTAGTACAGTCTTACTTATTGTAATAAGGTCAATAATAGAGAAGTAAAAAAAACACACACACACAAGAAAATGTTAATTTCCCCCTCTTCTAAATGCTATACACTCATGTGTTCATTTAGTTATTTCACTCAGAAAATGTGTTCTGCGTACTTTCCATGTCCCAGGCACCGTCCTAGGCAGCAAGGGCACAGCAATGACCAAAACAAAGTCCCTTGCTTAACTGAGCTCATATTCCTGGGGTGGGGTCGCCGGGAGAGAGAAGCCAAGTCAGTCGACGTGCGGTATGTCGGGTGGTGACAGAGCTCTGAAGAGACCGAGTCCGGAAGCGGGGAGGTGCAGAGAAGGCAGGCGGGCTCTGGAAGGAGGGCAGGCAGTGAAATCACAGCGTGGGTAGGGCCCGTGTGGCCCAGGTGAAGAGAGAGCTGGAATGGAGCGAGCAAGGAGAGAGAAGATGCAGCGAGGCAGGTAATGGGGGATGTGGGGACTGATCCCCTCGGGCCTCGCAGGCTTTGGGGGTGCCTAGGATTTTACAGTGCGTGAGCTGGGAGCCATTCGGAGGATTAGAGTACAGGATGAAACGATCCGACTCATGCTTTAATGACTCACTCTGCTGCCCTGAGACTATATTTTAGCATGGTGATAAAAGGACAGAGCACCAGCCCTGGCCTGTTTGGCTCAGCAGTTAGAGCGTCGGCCTGCGGTCTGGAGAGACCCGGGTTCGGTTCCCGCTAAGGGCACGTACTTCGGTTGCAGTTTGTCCCTGGCCCTGGTTGGTCGTGCGGGTGGCAGCCACTCGATGTGTCCCTTCATGTCGATGTTTCTCTCTCTCTCTCCCCCTCCCACTTTATCTGTACAAAAAGTGGAAAAATGTCTTCGGGTGAGGATAAAAAAAAAAAAAAAAGACAGAGCACCAGTTGTAAGGCTGTTGTAACAAATTAGCCCAGTGAGGTAACAGTGGCTTGGACCAGCCTGGCCTGGTGACAATGGAGGTGATGCCAAGTGATAGGGTCTGGATATATGCCGACAGGAATTGCTGATAGATTAGATCTAGGGTTACAAAGAAGTGGGATACAGGGTCACTGTCTTAGTCTTTGGGGCTGCTATGCCATGGACCAGCTGGCTGAAGCCACAAACACTCACTTCTCACAGTTCTGGAGTCCGGGAGCCCACGGATTTGGTGCCCGGTTGGGGCCTGTTCCTGGTTCCTAAAGAGCAGGGGGCCAGAGAACTCTGCGGGGTCTTCTGTGAGGGCTCATCTCGTCTCGAGAGCTCTGCCCCATGACCGCAGCGCCTCCCAGAGCTTCTCCTTATACATCACCTTGGGGTTTAGGCTTCAACATACGAACTTTGAGGGGACACAGACATTCAGTCCATAGCAGTTACCCTGCTTGCTTACGTGCTTTACCCTGGGACACTGTTCTTGACCAGTGTGGGTTTTCCTCTGTCTGTTTCCTAACCCGGGTCTTCCGGACGAGCCCTGACCCTTCAGAGCTCAGAACAGAGTGGTCCCCGAGCTTCCCTCCTGGTGCGCGGCTGCCGGGTCTGGGGGCTCCGGACGTCCCTGAGCACAGCACTGCCAGCGGCATCCTGCGCTGCGAACGGGAACCTCTTTTTCCAGAAACTTCCTAACAGTTTCCTATGAGAGCCCCTCGCTGAAGCTGTGCCGCCGGCTCTCACGCGCGGCCCTGCGCAGCCTGTGCCCGTTCCCGGGTCTGTCAACAGCATCTCCAGCGCCCGTCTCCTCAGTGCAAATATCACGTCTGAGCTTCATATTTACCCTGTGATCATTCCTATCCCAGCCACCAGGACTTAGGACTGTATATTTTCTATCGCAGGCCATATGAAAACACTATTTTTAAAAACAAAATTTTGAAATAATACTTGTTGCCTCACAGACCCAGAGAAGCCTAAACAAAAGGTCAGGGGCGTGCCGAGCTCCTGCGCCTCCCTCCTGTGCGGGAGGGGGGCTGGGACCGGACAGGGAGGAAGCCAGCCCTGGGTCCCAGTGTCTGTCCTATCGTCACCTTTACCCCCTACCCACTTGTCAAGGTCTTGTTGTTTGTTTTGTTTTTTTCCAGTCTAGAGAGTGTTTTGAGAAGATCATAGAAATAAACCCCCAGCTGCAGACACAGATGAAAGGTGAGGATGCACCTGCTCATGTCCTTCCCTTTGTGCTCGGGCTCCCGCTGCGTCCCGCACCTCTGGCCCAGCCGCAGGGCAGCCGCACCTGGCCTGCAGCCAGCCCTCCAGCTGCCGGCTGCCCAGGGCCTCCTTCCTCTGTCTCCAGCTCAGCTCGGCCTGCCTACCTCCTCACCAGCTCCCTTAGAGCCTTCCAGGCAGGGGAGTGCTCTCGCATCCCCGAGATACGTTAGGGTGCTGGGTGCATGTGTGCACTAGTCCTAAAATTGTCCTTTATTGAAGATGAGTGTGAATTACTTTAATGCCTTGTGCCTCTCAAGGCCCCGTCCTCAAAGAGGCCACTCCTTGAATGTCGACGTTGGTGTTAGGGTTTGGTTTGGTTTGGTTTTTCTGTTTTGCTAGATTACCTGAATCAAGTAGATCTTCGGGAGAAAGCAGACCATCAGGAGAAGGAGGCCCAGGAGCGGCTGGATTTGGGAAGGAGCACTGCCGTGACGACCAGGAGCCTCCTGGAGACGCTCTCCAAGCCTCAGCAGAACCCCTTGTTCTACGCAGGGGGCATTGAGATCCTGACCGAAATGATGAAGGACTGTAAGCGAGACGTGTGTGAGCTCGTGAATGGTGTCAGGGTAAAGGGACAGAGCTTAGAGGTCTGCCCTCATGACAGAGACTCCCTTCCTTCCACAAATACTGACGGAAGACCTACTATCTGTAGGTGGTAAAGAGGGTGCATAAGAAATATCCCCCACCCCGGCTCCATCGTCTCCTCAGCACATGCACTCAACATACATGTAATGAATACCACACACATACACACACACTATATGATACAAAACACAGCATGCACTCATTCCATGTGTACTTACATCACATACGGCAGGCATTCATTCCATGTATACCTACATCACACAGGGCAGGCACTCATTCCAGGTGCACCTACATCACTCCCGGCAGGCACTATTCCAGGTGCACCTACATCACACATGGCAGGCACTATTCCATGTATACCTACATCACACCCCGCAGGCACTATTCCATGTGTACCTACATCACACCCGGCAGGCACTATTCCATGTATACCTACATCACACCCCGCAGGCACTATTCCAGGTGCACCTACATCACACCCGGCAGGCACTATTCCATGTGTACCTACATCACACACGGCAGGCACTATTCCATGTGTACCTACATCACACCCGGCAGGCACTATTCCATGTGTACCTACATCACACCCCGCAGGCACTATTCCAGGTGCACCTACATCACACCCGGCAGGCACTATTCCATGTATACCTACATCACACACGGCAGGCACTATTCCATGTGTACCTACATCACACCCGGCAGGCACTATTCCATGTGTACCTACATCACACCCCGCAGGCACTATTCCATGTGTACCTACATCACACCCCGCAGGCACTATTCCATGTGTACCTACATCACACCCGGCAGGCACTATTCCATGTGTACCTACATCACACCCCGCAGGCACTATTCCAGGTGCACCTACATCACACCCGGCAGGCACTATTCCATGTATACCTACATCACACACGGCAGGCACTATTCCATGTGTACCTACATCACACCCGGCAGGCACTATTCCATGTGTACCTACATCACACACGGCAGGCACTCATTCCAGGTGCACCTACATCACTCCCGGCAGGCACTATTCCATGTGTACCTACATCACACACGGCAGGCACTATTCCATGTGTACCTACATCACACCTGGCAGGCACTATTCCATGTATACCTACATCACACACGGCAGGCACTATTCCATGTGTACCTACATCACACCCGGCAGGCACTCATTCCAGGTGCACCTACATCACACCCGGCAGGCACTATTCCATGTGTACCTACATCACACACGGCAGGCACTCATTCCAGGTGCACCTACATCACACCCGGCAGGCACTATTCCATGTGTACCTGCATCACACACGGCAGGCACTCATTCCAGGTGCACCTACATCACACCCGGCAGGCACTATTCCAGGTGCACCTACATCACACCCGGCAGGCACTATTCCATGTATACCTACATCACACCCGGCAGGCACTATTCCATGTATACCTACATCACACACGGAGGGCACTATTCCATGTGTACCTACATCACACAGAGCAGGCACTCATTCCAGGTATACCGACATCACACACGGCAGGAACTTGCATCATGCCTACTTATGTCATATACAGTACATGCACACACACACTATGTACACATGTCACACCATATATACTTACATCACATAACATGTAGTGCACATATTCACCCACACACATGCTCCACACTTCCTGGATCTAACTACACGTCCTTTGCATACCCAACACATACCCCATATACACCCCAAACACCCGGTAACTGCCCCCCAGCCTCCTCCAACCATAGGGAAATGGAAGATGGAATTTTTGAGGGATAAACTGTAAGTTCACCTTCTGCACTTACTGGCTGCTTAGGAGATGCAACAGTTCCAGAGAAACGTCAGCTCCACCTGCTGATGAGAGCCACAAGCCCTGTAAATACTGGTTCCAGGGCTTAAACCACTGTGTGACTCGGTGATAGGGTGTTCTGTACACACAGCGGAGTCTCTGACCTCCCTTAGTATACATGGAGGGTGCTCACTTGTCCCCTTCAGTTGTTTCTTGGAAATTACAGACTTCTCGTAGCCTGCAAACAATTCGGAGCAAACCCTTAAGAACAGGTAGGTGCACCCGTTTGTCCTGGAGGCCCCACCTATCCAGGGACTCCAAGGTGATGAAATGAGCTGTCAGATCACTCACGGGCCGCCAGTCTCAGCACTTTCTCTGACCAGGACATCCCTGTCACTGGGCCCCGCGTGACGGATGACAGCTCTGGGTTTCAGGGTGCAGAGGAGTCTGTTGGTGACTTTGACCTTTTATGTGGGTCCTCTCTGTCCTTCGGCTGTTACATCGCAGGCAGGTCCGGAGTCTGACGTCCGCCTCGATTGTTTCAGGCACAGAGCGAACTCTGTTCAGAACACTCAACGGATTCAACGTCATCGGCGGGAACGAGGTCATACAAAGGTAGGCGTGTTTGTAGAGCCAGCCGGCATCAACGCAAGGGACGCCAAGCTTTTGTCCTGCAGTCAGACCCTGGTGCCAGCAGAGCCTCGGAGGGCCCACCGTCCGGCGGTGCTGGGCAGCCTCGGCTGGTTTGGGTTACACCACAGTTGACAGCGGCAGAGAAGGGTCCACAGCAGTTCCCGGGGTTGTCCAAGCCCTCCGGTGTCGGAGAAGTGATCCTAGTGGAAATGAGTTCAGCCGGGCCCTGGCTGACCCCATTTATGATTTAATCCGAGGAGAGATCCCAGCCACGGGAGGCTGTCTCCTAAAGTTATCGTCGTTATTATTACTTTGTGTTTCAGTTGCTCTGGTATAATTCCTGAGGCTGAGGGTGCCGCTGGGGGTTGGGGTCACCAGCACATGTGCACGCGTGAGGGGGCCCACGAGCCCAGGTGGTGTGCTGGCCCTGTGCATGGGCCCTGCTGTGACCGTCACCGCGGCCCAGCTGCCACCGGCCCGGCGGGCAGCTCGGGCTGCCAGCGGCGTCCTCGTCCGGAGCGCTCCGTCCAGGCTCAGCAGTGCTTTGGTCCTGCTGACCTGCAGCTCCGGATTCGAAGATCCCTTCCCCAGCCCCCCGCCCCGTAGAGCTGTGCGCTGAGTCCCGGCCCTCGTGCTGTCCGCCCTTGGCCCCTGCAGGTGCTTCTCCACAGCTGCCCTCGACGGCGCGGAGGAGACCCTGTGCGTGGCGGTCCTCAGGCTCTGGCAAGCGGTGTGCAGCGAGAACGGTGAGCCCCGCCTCCGTCCCCCGCAGTCACGGTGGGGCGCCACCCCGAGCGGGTCCAGACCTTCCCTCAGACACAGCACGCGGCTGGGGAATGAGGCCTGCGCCCGGTGCTGTCCCCAGACCCGCAGCCGCCTTCACCGCGGCCGAGGCCACCGTCAGCGGCACGCGTGGTCTCGTCACCGGGCACTCGCCCTGCTCTCTGCAGGCCGGGACTTCTGCCCGCGGGTGGCAGTGGGGTGGCAGAGCCAGTCCTGTCCTCTCTGCCTGAGCGTGTGGTGGGACACGGGACCCAGTTAGCACCGTGAGCCCCGCGCTCGCCGCCAGCCCCGTGTGCGTGGGACGGTGAGGTGCCGCGCGGGTGCTGGGCTTTGCCCACTCAGCTCTCCCCGTGAGCACCTCCCGGGTTGCTGCATGTTTATAGATCCTGACTGCTCTTGTGACCGCAGTGTAAATAAAAATCACACCATTTCCCTCACTATTTTAAAAGGAAAAGATCTGACCTTGAGCACACTGAACATTAGAATAATGGCAGCCCCTTTCCACGGGGCGCCTGTGAGAGCCAGTGATGGGGCCTGAACCTAGGAAATGCTGACTGTGGGCTGATAAGCCTTTTCCTTCGTGTGTTCGAGTGCAGGAACCGTCCTAGGTCCTAGGGAACTGGAGAATCGGGCCTCTTCCTGAAGGGCCTTGTGCTCGGACAGGGTTGTCCCCAAGGCGCCGGCTGCTCTGGGAGCCCCACCGGCCCGGGGGTGGTCTGCACACCCCCTGAAGGAGGGCCAGGGAGGCAGGGCGTGGCAACGGTGTGCGGGACCCTGTCCCTCTGCAGTCCCGACGCCTCTGCCAGCATCCTCTGGTTCTGTGAACCTTGGCGTCACCTTGTTCTTTAACATCTGAAAACGTATCGTCAGTGGTGATATAAATGCTCTCGCTCAGATCAGTGAAATCTTGGTTTATCCAACTCTATAAGTACAAAGCAGTTTTTAAAAAGGACAGGGACTGCTTAAAAGGTAGGACATGGACTGTGTCCTAGGTATGTCGCTGAGTGGCGGAGAGCGGCCAGGCGCAGGGGAGGATGGGTCCTAGTTTTACCATTATACATACAAGGGGGATAATAGCTCCTTTCAGGAATGGACGTAGCAGGAGGGGGACAGGAGAAGGACTTCCATGTTCGGCTGTATTCCCCTCCTGTTATTTCAGTTGTTTACAATGAGCTCCTTCTCCGGTATAAGAACAAATGTGTGAGCTGAACAAATGGCTGTTTCGTAGCCTAGCCTCACACTCCGGCCGCACCGCCGCCTGCCCTCCGACCACTCGGACCCGCTGGGAAATGGGCAGGGAGAGCACGCAAACCCAGTGCCACTCTCCCGGACACAGCGTGTCGTCTGGGAGGGGGCACGCTTTCTTCATGGCTGTTCTCATGTGATAGTCTGGTTTACCAGAAAGAACTCGGATGGTTGCTCTGGCCATTCATTACCTGGAAGGTAACAGTCTAAGATTCCACAGTTCACCGATTTCTCTCCCTTTCCTCCCATCTCCGGAGGCCACACCAAGGAGCCTGTGACAAGAACAGTGATAGCTAGTGTGTGTGCGCCAGGCCCTGCCGTCCGCTCCGCCGTGTGGTCACTGCACCCTCATGGCTCTGTGCCCGGGCCGTGTGCCATCTCACTGACGAGGGAGCATAATGCACAGGAGCTCACAGACGGGCTGAGGCCGTTCCCCGGCATTCAGACCCACCTGGTTCAGAGTCCCCACTCATGGCCCGCCTCGGGGCTGGAGGGCTGGGTCCTGCCGAGAGGCAGGCACACACTAGTCTAATTGCTCCCGGTGTGCTAGGCCAGCGCCCCTGTGTTTGCAGAGGAGAACCGGCGCGTGCTGGTGCTGCACCCCGATGCGGGCAGGCTGCTGCCCTCCCTCTTGGCCTCCGGGGCCCTGAGCCTCCGGCAGCAGAGCCTGGCCCTGCTCCTGCAGCTCGTCCAGACCGGGGACGGCCGGAGCCTCGTCGTCAGCCACCTGGACCTGACCCGGTAAGCTCGCGGGCGGCGGCCCCGCAGTGTCTCCGCCACCACTACGTCTGCCTTCCCACATCTCTGCCATGAGAGGGGCCAGCAAACTTTCCTAGGGCCCCTAGCAGAAAGAGCCTCGGGGAAACGCTCCCCCCAGGACTGCAGGGGACCCCTCGCAGAAAGAGCCTGGGAGGAACGCTCCCCCCAGGACTGCAGGGGACCCCTCGCAGAAAGAGCCTGGGAGGAACGCTCCCCCCAGGACTGCAGGGGACCCCTCGCAGAAAGAGCCTCGGGGGAACGCTCCCCCCAGGACTGCAGGGGGCCCCTAGCAGAAAGAGCCTCGGGGGAACGCTCCCCCCAGGACTGCAGGGCAGGCTCCCGTGTGAGCCTGGTCCCGGGACAGGGTCCCTGCTGAGCGTGTTCCCAGCTCAGACGCTGCGGCCCTCTTGGCCTTGGTCCTGGCCGACTGCCCCGTCCGTAGTGTCTTCGTTCCTGTCGGAGGGACACTGTCCGATACTGTGCGTCCTTGAACCTTGCTGGAGCGTGGTGGGAGATAAACATCTCAAATGCTGTTCCATGGGGCCTCCCCAGCCCTAACGCCATGGGAACAGAATGCATCTCTCCCCAAAGTAGACTTTATTGAAAAAACGACCTCCCAGTGCTCTTCAGCCTGAAGATTATTAGTTAGAACTAGTGAAATTGCCACTTTTTTATATCAAAAAATGTGCCTATTGGTAACTTCATATAGTTCATTCAACCTCATAGAAACAGTAGCAATAATTATAGCTTGCTTTTTAAGTGCTTCTTACAAAATCTAAAAACAGAATTTGGCTTCTGATTACCTCATCTCATCCCTTCTCAGCCCGGGATGTAGGCAAGGTCAGTGCTGCCCCTCTGTTTCGCGCCGGGGGCAGGACAGACCGCAGCAAGTGTCCGAGGGGCTCTCTGGCTCACAGGGGGCGACCCCAAGGCTCAGCCACACAGGCGGAGGCTGGCCCCCTCGTAGTTAGACCCTCAGGAGCACACTTACATTTCAGGTGGCTCCGCAGCCCCCTCAGTACCTTCAGCTTGTGTTTGTATTTGGTTTTGGTCTTTTGAATAAATGTAGTTACAGTTACCATAAGCTATTCTCCACCCTCCTCTCTGCTCCCATCCTCCCTCCCCTCCCCTCCCCACCTCCTCTGCCCCCCTCTCCCCTCCTCCCCTCTGCTCTCCTCCCCTCCCCTCCCCTCCCCTCCCCTCTCCTCTCCCTGAGCTCCCTGGATGGTCCCCCACATCTGTAAGATGACATCTTGGTCCCATTTCCTGGGCATCTGCTTGTGTTTCCTTCTGGCTTCTTCCCAGCGTCTCCAGGTGTCTCCTCTAGGTCGCCGGGAGCTTCTCCCTTCTCCACTGTACATCTTATCCTGCCTCCACCTGGGTTCAGTCCTTAACCTGTAGTCTTGATCGTTTCTCCCTCATGGGTTCCCTGCCTCCCACACCTGTGCAGCCCAGCCTCCGCCGCACCACCAGAGAGGTCTGTCTGACGTGCACGTCTGTCCTGTTATCTTCCTACTGAGAATGCTAATGTGACTACGGCCTGTAAGACTAGTTCTCCCGCTGCGGAGGGACCTAGTGCCTAGGAGCCACTTGGGCCCTTGTTTAAACGCAGCCTCCTTCCGCTGGAGACAGAGATGGGCCTGGGAGGCTGCTCCCCCCTCCAGTGCCAAGTCAGCCCTCTCCCGGCCACGGGGACACGCAGGCCTGCGGGGTGGACCAGGCTCAGGCCCCAGGCCCGCCACGACCCCCGCTGTCCCGCTCTCGGCCTCGCCATCCCCCATCCTCCCTTCGCTCCCTAAGCACCAGTGGGAAGGAGCTGCCCGGCCCCAGGCGTGCCCTGCGGTGAGTGCCGGTGCCCTGCCTGGCGCTGGCCTGCCAGCTCCTGGAGCTGGGACCCTGTCTCTGTTGGTCAGTGCAGCCCAGAACCCGCACATCTCCCAGCAGTCGGTGCTCCCTGGGGCTGGTGAATGAACAAACGACACAAAGCTAGCCCCGCGCTCAGATGGCAGCTGAAGTGTCTGCCCTTGGAAGCCTCTTGGTCTCCATCCTCCTGGGCCTCCCACCAGGCCGACTCTGGGCCACTGTTCCTGAGTCTGTCCCTAATGTGTCACCTAACACATTAGGCGTGTGCATGTCGCTATGGACTGCGGCCCGCTCTGAGCACACCACAGGTGCCGAGTGCAGCTTTGCTGGGTGGACGAGCGGCTCCCACTCCGTCCTGGGCCGGTCAGTCCGTTGGGCAGCCTGAGGTCGCGTAGGCTGCTTTTGGCAACTCCACCAGACTATTTGCTCACAGTGGGTTTGCAGATACCTGATAACCCTTCCATCGTTTTCATAGGAACCAGGTGTAAACCAGGTCTCCCAATTCCTACTTATACACAACTTCTAGCTCTAAGTGGAGGGGTTTGAGTTTAACCATATTACATTTCATCGGATATATTCAGTAACCCATCAGAATCCTGTGGAATCTGTATTCTGCCCCCCACCGCATAAGGGGGCCCTCCTCCTGTGGTCATTAGCAGATTAGTGAGCATGCCATTGACATGTCATTTCTGTGACTGGACTTGGCCGAGCCAGAACCACCTGGCAGAAACACCGGCGATTCCTTCCCACTTGTCATCTGATCAGTGAACTTTGGTTAAAAGTGTTCAGCCCCCTGGGACTTCACATTGGGCAGTAGAGCCATTCTTGCAGGAGAGTGTCTGTCTCACGGGTGGGCCAGCAGCTGGGCTTCAAGGAGGGCGCGCAGGGCCACTGTCGGCCCACCTCACCCGGTGCTCACCTTCCTGGCCTCCTGAAGGCTCCTTGTTGGCAGTGCCCTCAGTCGGAGGACAGGCCCCTCTGAGGTTCTGGAACTTTTGCAGATTGTTGGAAGCCCTGGTGTCATTTCTTGACTTCCCAGACAAGACGGCCACCTCCGCCATGGGACTGCTCACCGACTTGGCTCTGGAAGAAAGGTAATTTTATTTACAGAAACTGACATTTCTTCTTGAAACCTTGTTGACCATCTGATATTTTCGGATGAGCAGCGTACAGGGAGGCCGGGCCCGTGAGCATCACAAGGTCCCCAGAGTAGGAGGGCCGCTGTCTTCCCAGGAGCGGTGGGCTTGGAGGCAGTAACATGCTCAGAACTGCCTCGCAGTGAGCAGCCTACTGTGCGCTGGAGAAGCTGCTTCTCCTCAGTCGGCACCTGATGGGAGCTGCCTGGCCGCTGGGTGCTGAGTGCAGGCAGCGAGAGCAGCCAGATGCGGCTGCAGCCTCCTCTTGGGGCGCCAGTGCGTCTTGGGGAACCACCTCCTCCCTGCTTTTCTTGCTTAGCGACTGGGGAAGACAGTAAAGGCCTTACATTTTTCATGATTCTTAAATGTTGTTTTTCCAGTGCATCTTATTTGTTTGTTGGTTTCATTTCCCCGCCACCTGTAAAACATCTTGCTTAGACATTTCATAACAGAGAGCTGGGTGCCCCCAGAAGGCCCTGGGCGCAGGCTGCAATGCAGAGGTTGCTGCAGCGCGTAGACGTGCGTGCGCCTGGGCCTCGTGGCGGTGACGGGAGCACGCTCACCTGTGCGCCGCACGCGGCGGAGACAGCGAGGGGCAGGGTGGTGGCAGGTCAGCTGTGCAGAAGCCTGGGCACCCCGGCAGTGTCTGCAGAGGTGCTGCTGTCTGAGAACCGGGGTTCACCACCAAAGGCAGTTCCCCAGACCCAGAGAAATGAAAGCCACGTGTACACCTGGGGACATTGTCGTTTCTGAATGAATCCCCCAGGTGCACGGCAAATCGCGGAGGCCCAGAGTGCGTGGCCGTGCACGCGTTGCCGGGGCTCTGCGCTTCTCTCACAGTTGGTACAGTGTAGAAATGAATCACGCTGGTTATCTCAACAGATTTCAAGTCTGGTTCCCAGCCCACCTCGCAGGTGTTCTGCCGGCATTCACGGGCGTTCTGGTGAGCCAGCCCTCCTTGTCCATGACGGGCACTCGGGAGGGAGCAGAGCCGGCCAGACAGGTCGCACTCCAGAGCTCCCGCTGTGTCTCTGTTCCTGTCATTTACTCACAGCTGAATCCACAGGGTCTGTCACTGAAACGGCCGCATGGGGCAGGTGGAGGGGCGCATGCACTGGGCGCGCTACCGGGGAGGAGCAGCTGCAGGGGGTGGAGAGCGGTTGTCCCTGTCATCATCCCTCGCGACCCTGTGTCTCATCACGAGCCCGTGAGCAGCCCTGTCCCCTGAGTGAAAGTCGTCCTGGTCAGAAGGTGATTTGAGCCAAGGAGGCAGAGAAGAGGAAGGGGGTGGAGAGTTCTCCTAGGAGCACATGCTGTGACTAGACCCGGTCCCGGGACCTTGGCAACCCCCAGCCCCTATTCCAGATGTGGAAATGGAGCTCTGCGAATGGAGGGCTGTGTCCTCCAGGCCGGTTGGTGGTATCCCTGGGGTTGAGCCCGAGGCCTCTGTTCCAGGCCATCGTGCTTTGGGGTTACCCCTATTGCCAGCACGGCCCCATTGGTGCCCTGGTGTGACACGGTGCTCTCTGCACCCAGGCGTTTGGGTGCGTGGGGTGCCCTGGTGTGACACGGTGCTCTCTGCACCCAGGCGTTTAGTGTGTGGGGTGCCCTGGTGTGACACGGTGCTCTCTGCGCCCAGGCGTTTGGGTGCACGGGGTGCCCTGGTGTGACACGGTGCTCTCTGCGCCCAGGCGTTTGGGCGCGCGGGGTGCCCTGGTGTGACACGGTGCTCTCTGCGCCCAGGCGTTTGGGCACGCGGGGTGCCCTGGTGTGACACGGTGCTCTCTGCGCCCAGGCGTTTGGGTGCGCGGGGTGCCCTGATGTGACACGGTGCTCTCTGCGCCCAGGCGTTTGGGTGCGCGGGGTGCCCTGGTGACTGTGCATTATTGCCTGATCTCTGCACATTTTCCTTCTCTCTTCACTTTTAGAGGAGAGACCCCAAGGTGACCAACACCTCAGCTCTCAGCCAGTGTGTCGCCGTCATGGGAAACCTCAGTGCTGACGCTGCCACCCGAAGACAGATGTCTGCCTCTGAGGAGTTTGGGGGTGCCTGCCTGGACCTCATGGTATTCTAGCTTTTCTACTTCAAGCTGGCCTTTTATCTGCTTTAGGAACGTTGGCTCCTCCTTCATCATCTAGATGTCCAGACGTTATGTGGGAGGGTGCCGGAGCCAGCACGTACCCTTCTGCGACCGTAGGTTTCTGGGTGCTGGTCTCGGCAAGCCCTGCGCGCAGGCCGCCTGCGTCCCGGCCGGGTCTGAAGGTGTTCTGGCAGAGCTGCCGACCGCCACGTGGGCAGCCCGCTCTCGGTTTAGCAGAGCCAGGCTGAGCAGCGTCGCAGGGCGGAGGCTCGCGGGACTCCCGTGAGCTTTCAGACCGGCCTCCGCTCCCCCCATCACCTGCTGCAGGGCAGCTCGGAGTTGGGCCATGCCCAGGCCATGCCCAGGGAGAGGACTTACAGAGCTCAAGGCTGAGCAGCCACGGATGACCTTGCTTTGTTTCCGAAGGCCAGGTGTGAGGAGGACGGGGACCCGTCCAGAGACGTCGTGTATGCACTTCTGGGGCTCCTGATGAACCTGTGCCTGCAGCCCCCGCCCCTCGCCGAGGTCAGTGTCCTTTCCTCCGCCTGGAGCCCTGGGCACCCGAATGCATCCTGTCGCACAGGACCGTCCTCATTGCCACCAGCAGCTAGAAGCCCGTGGGTCCAGGCAGGCAGTGGGTCGGGAGAGCTGGGTGGACACTGTCTCTGCTTCACTGAGGGAGAGGTGATCACTCGGTCAGGTGCTCATTCAGAAAACCGAGTGTCCAGGATGTGCCGAGCATCGTGCTAGGTCCTGCCTTTGTAAGGTCAATCAGACGTGGTCCCTGCCCTCCAGGTATTGCCGTGGAGTTAGGGGAGAGCAGTAGAAGGCGCCGTGAGCGGGGAGTAGGGTGGTGGACAGGAGGGGTGCTCAGGTGCTCGGAGGGAGCCCCAGAGTCAGACTGCAGACGACCTCCTTCTCCGGTCCCCGTCGCTGCAGGTCTGGGCCGTGGAGGTGAGCAGGAGGTGCATGTCTCTGCTGAGCAGCCGGGACGGAGGAGTCCTGACAGTAAGATTCCCAGGGGATCAGAAACGGTGCTTTGTTCTCCTCCGGGGGCTCTGATACCCGCGCGTCTCACCCTTTCGGACTCATCACACCTTGAGGTTCTGCCGGCGCCTCAGCGTGGTGCCTGTGATCTCGCAGACATCACATTTCCTTCAGTTTCATGGGGTTTGCTGCCCCCCACCCAGTGCCCATCTATAGAGACCCCCAGAGTCTAGGGGCCCCGTCCTGTCTGCTCTGGAACTTGTCTGATTGGTCCTACTTCCAGATATCCTTGTGCAAATGGAACAGTCAGGTGATTTCATACAGAATCTCTTTGTGCATAATCAGCAAGACCAACCCATGTTTCCAAGCCAGTGATCCCAGAGGCCGTCTCTGCACTGTCCCCTTGGAGGCATGTGCTGGACGAGCTTTGTAAACTTCCGCTTCTGGTATTTGATAAGAGAACTGAGCAGGCCCCTGGCTAGCACCGTGCATCAGGAGAATATTAATACGGTTCAAGAGGGTATTTGCCATCGTCCTAGGATGTGCTATATACTCACATTCGGAATCACCCCTTTTCCACCTACTGGGTCAGGCCGAAAGCTTAGAAAAACAACGGGGTCACATCCAGGGCAGGTCTGGGAAACCAGCCCTCCAAAAACCATGGACGGGGAGGGTTCCGGGTTGTAGTAAAGGTTCTGAGTAGATCCGACATGTCCTGGGTGGAGCTGCGGGCCCCCCTTCCCTGAAGTCCGGGTAGACACTGTGGGGAGGGTTTGTAGCCAGGTCCCTGGGAGAACTCAGCTGTGTGGACCACCCGAGTGGATGTGCATTTCACGGGTGGGGGGCAGCACAGTCCCCATCAGATCCTCAGAAAAGACCCATGACCCCCAAAGTGGTGAGCACCATTGTTCTTGGGGTGGGTTTCCTGGGTGGTCCACCCGGGAGCTAGGCCAGCGGGTTCTGTGCTAACTGCCCGGGCTCTGGCCAGGACTCTGCCCCGGCTGGGCGCCGGCCGGCGTGCTGAGCAGGCACAGCCTCAGCGGGGACCAGCCCGCCCGTGGGTGCTGTCTGCTGTCCTGGGCCTGGAGAGAGCTGTGCCATCAGCTCCGGCGACCTGTGGGGCAGACAGGGACACGAGACTGTGATAGGTAACACACTAGTCTAAGCCTTCTCCCTCGGAGACCTCGTTGAAACGAGACGAAAGCAGAAACCACGTGGACAAAGCAGACAGGCAAGAGGACACCAACGGGTCAGTAGTTTCTGGAAGATGGAAACCTGCAAGGAGGGGGCGGAGCCGGGGAAACCTTGGTGTAGACAGCTGTGGGGAGCGCAGCTGGAAGGTAGCGGGTTCGTCTCGTGGTTCCCCAAGATGGAAACTTCCAAGCACCAGTCCAGCGGCGGGCAGAAGTGAGAGCCGGGCATCAGCAGCCAAGCACCTGCCCCTCGGGCGTCAAATCGAACACTTCTCCTCGAAGGCACCGGGAGCCCAGGGAACACACTTGCCGTCCAGCGTTTGGGAGGCCTCCTCTGCCTGCCCGTCCAGCGTTTGGGAGGAGACCTCTGTCTGCCCGTCCGGCGTTTGGGAGGAGACCTCTGCCTGCCCGTCCAGCGTTTGGGAAACCACCTCTGCCTGCCCGTCCAGCGTTTGGGAGGCCTCCTCTACCTGCCCGTCCAGCGTTTGGGAGGAGACCTCTGTCTGCCCGTCCAGCGTTTGGGAGGAGACCTCTGCCTGCCCGTCCAGCGTTTGGGAGGAGACCTCTGCCTGCCCGTCCGGCGTTTGGGAGGAGACCTCTGCCTGCCCGTCCGGCGTTTGGGAGGAGACCTCTGCCTGCCCGTCCGGCGTTTGGGAGGAGACCTCTGCCTGCCCGGGCCGGCGTTTGGGAGGAGACCTCTGCCTGCCCGTCCGGCGTTTGGGAGGAGACCTCTGCCTGCCCGTCCGGCGTTTGGGAGGAGACCTCTGCCTGCCCGTCCGGCGTTTGGGAGGAGACCTCTGCCTGCCCGTCCGGCGTTTGGGAGGAGACCTCTGCCTGCCCGTCCGGCGTTTGGGAGGAGACCTCTGCCTGCCCGTCCGGCGGTTGGGAGGAGACCTCTGCCTGCCCGTCCGGCGTTTGGGAGGAGACCTCTGCCTGCCCGTCCGGCGTTTGGGAGGAGACCTCTGCCTGCCCGTCTGGCGTTTGGGAGGCCTCCTCTACCTGCCCGTCCAGCGTTTGGGAGGAGAGCTCTGTCTGCCCGCCGGCGGCCTCACTCACTGAGACATGTTGTTGCCACTTTCAGAATTGTGACCGGGCAGCTGGGAGTCACCAGACAGCTCAGGAAAGCCACACACATAAATAGAAGAACCAAGATAAACAGAAAAGTTGACTCTAAAAACAGAGGTGATACAGGAAATAGGAAGAAAGTAATAACTATTGTTTCTATCCTCAGAAAAATTCCAAGCAGCATCATAGCCAAACTCTAGCACCAGCCGCTGTCTTAGAACCAGAACCGGAGTCTCCCAGGACACAGAGCGAGAGGACAGCCTGGGGACAGGTAAGGGAAAGGCTGGAAGACCGTCGGCCGACCCAGGACGTCTGCGTTAGTGAGGCCTGGGTGCAGCACTGCCCAGCGGTGGACTGCGCGGCCCTGTGCGAGGGGCAGGACGGCCTCGGTGTGCCCGGGCAATGCTTCGCTGTGGATCGTCTGCCCCGCGGCCGCGGCCGCGCCGAACAGCAGTGCTCGCCGTCTCACTGGACCATCACGTAATCTTTATGTCAGGGTGCATATTGTACTTCCGATATTGAGGGTTGTTTTGCCTCACCCCTGTTAACTTAGAGGTCTTCCGCGTATCCGAAAGCACCCTGAGTCCCCCTGTCTCTCCTCCCTCAGAGAGCCGCCGGGGTGCTGAGCCGCACCCTGCCTTCCTCTCAGAAGGCCGTGGAGGAGGCAATGAGAACCGGGGTGGTGAAGAAAATGATGAAATTCCTGAAGGTACAGGGGCGCGGGTTCCAGCCTCTGGAGTTGCGGCAACGTCTTGTTTTATTTGGGGAGAACTGAGGTGGCCCTATGTCACCCCCCTAGATTTTAAACTCGAGTGGGGGGTCTTCTGCCTGCCCACCCAGACTGTGCTCTGAACACCAAAGGGTTGTTGGATGAATAAGTGAACTGATCCCCGGCTGGGTGGCTGGGTTGGTAAGAGCGTCGCCCCAATACACCAAGGTTGGGGGTTCCACCTCCAGTCGGGCACAGCCCAGATCAGCCCATGATGCACAGACGGGCGGGACCGCAAAGCGGTCTCCCTCCCCGTCTTCCTGACTGGGTGACTGGATGGCTTACTGGACACAGCCATGCAAGGCTCACCGTCGAAGCCGGTCTCGGACACGCGTGGCCTCTGTCCTTGGGGAGGACGGTCTGCAACTGGCGGCGAGCTTCCTCGGGCCCTGACCGCGCGCGTGTTCTCCTGCTCGCGATGCTTCGTGCAGTTGTCTGGGGAGCAGGAGGCGACTCCTGCGTGAGACTTAGAAGGAGCTTTACCACGGGACAGCGGACGTCCAGCTGTCCTGTGCGTGAGAGCAGTGAGTCTGACCGAGCAGGGACAGCAGGTGACTGCTCACCTGGGCATGAGGGACCTTCACCGCTGCCCTTGCTGGGTCCCACGTGGTGTCTGTGCCCGGGGAGGCCCCTCACCCTGTCAGCGTGCTGACCCCTGGGCGACCTGCTCCTGAAGCCCCGGCTCTGCGGGGCCCAGGAGTGGGCTCTGCGGTGCGGCGGCTGCTGCTGGGTCAAGGGCAGTCCTGAGGGCGCGACAGTGAGTCTGAGCTAGGCTGCGCCTGGACGGGGACCGCCATTCACTCCGGACAACTCCTGCAGTCCTGCCGCAGGCGGCCGAGTGCATGTACACGCGTGCTGCACGCATGCCTGCACACGTGCGTCCTCAAGCCCGGCATCTGCGGCAGCTGTCACCTCAGGACGGCCTAGGTCCGTGGGGCTCTCGCACAGACCCGTCAGCCTGACGGCCTTGGCGAGTCAGCCCTCCTTCCCGATGGTGACATGAACGGGACCGTGCCCCCTTGGGCAGACCTGTCAGTCGGCAGCAGCATCTGTTCTCGGCCACGCTGTCGGGAAGCCTTCCGGTCGTCACGGGTGTAGTGACAGCCTCCCTTCCCGGCTGTGTGGGCTGTGAGGGCTGAGGGCCCGCGGCAGGGACCGGCCCCCGCTCAGTGCAGCTCTCGGGCTTGGGGAGCCACCGGCACCGTCGAGCTGTCCCTGTGGCTTCTGGCCACGAACTGTCACAGGACTGATCGTATTTTCCTAATTTCCTTCGTGAATCTAGACAGGAGGCCAGACCGCCTCGCGTTACGCCGTGAAGACACTGGCCGTCTGCACCAACAGCAACCACGAAGCCCGAGAGGAAGTGGTGCGGCTGGATAAGAGTGAGCGATGCTCTCCCTCGGGGCTCCCAGGGGCAGCCATCCCTGACGCCGCAGGGGGCAGCCATCCCTGACGCCCCAGGGCCCCGGGGGCAGCCATCCCTGACGCCGCAGGGCCCCGGGGGCAGCCATCCCTGACGCCGCAGGGCCCCGGGGGCAGCCATCCCTGACGCCGCAGGGCCCAGGGGACAGCCATCCCTGACGCCGCAGGGCCCCGGGGGCAGCCATCCCTGACGCCGCAGGGCCCCGGGGGCAGCCATCCCTGACGCCGCAGGGCCCCGGGGGCAGCCATCCCTGATGCCCCAGGGCCCCGGGGGCAGCCATCCCTGATGCCCCAGGGCCCCGGGGGCAGCCATCCCTGACGCCCCAGGGCCCCAGGGGGCAGGCATCCCTGACGCCGCAGGGCCCCGGGGGCAGCCATCCCTGCCGCCGCAGGGCCCTGGGGACAGCCATCCCTGACACCGCAGGGCCCCGGGGGGCAGCCATCCCTGATGCTGCAGGACCCCGCCACGAGCAAGCGAGGGGACAGCGTGCAGCCATCACCTCCCTACCGCGCGGTGTTTAGGCAGATGTCATTCTCCCTGGCGCCGAGAGCGTGTCGGTAGCTGGCTGCGCGCAGGTAGCGGCCCGGCTGCAGGCTCCACCACAGAGCAGCTCCGAGGGGACTGTGAGGCTGGAGCTGCCCTCTCTCCCGGCTTCGGTTGAGATTGTCTCGAAAGCATTCTGCTTAGACGGCCTAGCATGGATCCTCTTCTGTGGCCGGGGGAGGGGAGACCCTCAGAGTCGGAGCCTAGCCTCAGGGTAGTAACTGAAGTGGGCGCAGTCATCGGTAGCGGGGTTCCCAGCCCAGGCAGCCTGCTGCCGCTCTGTGAGCACCTCCGGGATGCAGGCGAGGGACCCACTGGGCCCCCCACCAAAGCAGGGCCCTTCTTCTGGGCCGGTTTCGGGCCCTGTGGTGCAGGGTGCAGGCTGTGGCCCCCCGCTCGGGCTGCCAGGCGTAGAGTAGAGCTTGAGACCAGGCACTTGGAGAAGACAGACCTTGCCCTGCTGCGTGGCATCCGTCCACAGCAGCTACGTGGCGCCAGGCAGGCCCTAGGCCTCTGAGGTACGTCAGAGACAGCAGGGTGCCCACGGCGCTCAGCACGGCTGAACGAGGAGTGACAGGCCCTTCTCAGAGCTCCTGGCCGCTCAGCGTCCACTGACACGTCCTTGTGCCTCTCCTGTCCCTTTGCCAGCCTCCTGCTTGGGATTTGCAGGGACCACGTGTGTTCTCCCTGCAGAGTTCAGCGTTCTGAGGGCGCTGCTCAGCTCGGAGGACGAGAGTCTGGCGGGCAACGCCGCCCTCTGCCTGGGGAGCTGCATGGAGGTGCCGCAGGCGGCGGCCGCCCTGCTGAGGACGGACATCGTGCAGGTCCTGTTAAGGCTGGCGGCCAGAGACGCGCAGAAGAGCGCTGTGCAGCTGAACGCAGGGATCGCGCTGGGGAAGCTGTGCACAGCCGAGCCCAGGTGTGCGGGCCCGGGTGACCGGACGAGCAGGGCCCGCCGTGCGGGGACTCTGCCCACAGGATCCCGCGGGGGCCCGGGAGCCCCGTGCCTTCCTGCAGACAGGGCTAGGGCCCCAGCAGCCGCCTCTCGAGGAGCCTTCCCTGAGGGAACTAGGGAGCCCCAGTCTCCACCCAGAGAGGGAAGACTTACCTGGCAGATTTGTCTCTGCACTTCCTGCCGTTGCCTCCTCTCCAACCCACTGCCACTCTCTGTCCTCCTGTCCTCTCCTCTCCCTCCCACACCCTCTCTCCTGCTCCTTCTCTCCCCTCCCTTCTCCAGCAGGAGTCAGACCTCCCACTTCATTTGCATTTGCCCGGGGCCTGGGCAGTGGGGGAGGTCCCTGCGGTGACATCCTCCTGCTGGGGCAGGCCAGCCGGCTCTGCTCTGCCGGTGCCACCTCCCCGCTAGGTCACACTGCTCCCAGGCACCTACCCCCAGTCGCTTGGGCTCCCGCGTGCCCGCCGCGCTGCGTGCTGGGGCCCCAGCACGGATGGGGTGCCTTCCTCGGCAGGGAGGGTCTCTGGCCTGCCCGGTTCCTACCTTTGCAGCCTCTGATTCCTCCTCCGTGGAGTGAGCGGGTGGGTCTGGAGAACATCTGAAGTCCTTCAAGTTCTGATTGTCCGGATGGAAAGAATGGAGGAATCTTTGTGCCGCAGAAGCCGGGCACTTCGCTGGCATGAGCTCGGGGTGGCTGCCTGCTGGGAGGTCCCCTTAGCAAGGTGCCAGGGTCAGCCTGTCACTCGGCCACTCTCCGCAAGAGTGTGTGCAGTGCCCGTGGGCCCCAGGGCCTCGGCCCTGCCCACCTTCCCAGCCAGGTCTACCGCGAGGACGCTGTGGGCACCGCCGCCTGCGCACGTCCTGGAGCTGTGTTCTGATTCCCACAGGTTTGCTGCTCAGCTGCGGGAGCTCCAGGGATTCGAGATTCTCAGCTCTGCGGCGAGGCGCTCCCAGGACCCGTGAGACGTGGCCTGGCACAGCCGTGTGCTCGGGGTCCCTGTGAATAAAGGCCTCCGAGAGCCGCTCCAGGCCGAACGCCGGCTTTCAGAGTCCTCTCCTGCCGGTTTTCTCTGGTGACAAGGGAGTGGCATCAGACGGCTGCCCCTGACCTGGGAAGTGCCGCACCTGCTGGGGTCTGCCACACGCTCCCTGGGTCCCTTTCTGTGTGCAGAGGCTGGGCTGCAGTGGATGACAAGCCCTCGTCCGGGCGCCCCTGTAAGCAGCCCGGGCGCCCCTGTAAGCAGCCCGGGCGCCCCTGTAGGCAGCGGCTCTGGATGGGGCTGCGTCTGCCAGCTGAGCTCCCTTCTCCCCTGGCTGTGGGCCCCGCCGTGGCGGGGAGTCCTCTGCCACCCAGGGAATCGTTCCTGGAAGTGCCACCTGGTGCCTTCCTCTAGCTGGTGATGCGCCACCCCATCCTCCGTGCTGGGGACCTGCTCAGCACTAAACTGGTTTCCCTCCCCCACCTTGCTTTCCCTCCCGCGATTACCCCGGGCCTCCTCAGACGTCAGGTCCCTCAGTGAGAAGTCCAGTGAGCGACACAACTTCCGCGTCCCAGGGCGCTCGCACTGGCCATTTCGGGGACGAGGTGGGACGGGTGCGGCTCGGTGAGCGCCAGGTGTCCCAGGCCAGAGTCCCCGAGGCTGCAGTCCCACCCTGCTCCCTGGCAGCTGTGTGACTTTGGGCAAGTCACTTGACCTCTCTGAGCTTCGGCAGCTGCTTCGGTAGCTAGAATAATACTGGTCCAACCTCTCTCCTACATTGCTGTGAAGGTCAAATGACATTTTAGAGGTAAAGGTACTTTGGGAATTATAAAGTGCTACACACTATATGTAGCATAATATCAGGCTCCATCTTGAGGCTGAGGGACTTAATTTTGATGTCAGTTGGGTTAAATCTGAGGGGCTAAGGCAGGGGTCGAACACATATTCTTTAAGGAACCAGAGCTGGACAGTTTCTGGACCATGTGGGAAGGAATTGCTCCTCCTCGGAGATTTTGTTCATTACACCCAAAGAAATGCTTTTTGCAGTGAGGTGGTTTCTAGCTTATATTAAGAACTCTGCCCCTGAAACCAGGACAGATAACTGGCATTTTGGGGGGCTGGAATGAAGTCAGTAGCCCGAGACCCTCCCTGTGGGCTCAGGGCACCCCATGGGGCTGGAGTAAGCTCCCTGGAGTTCTTTGCAGTGGTGCCACCACCCTGTCCCTGGGTGACAGGCCACAGCCGAGGCCAGCACCTGCCCGCCGGGTCCGGCACAGACAGACACACTTGAAGAGAGTGCTGAGTTGCAGAGGGAGAAGGCTTGGTGCTGAACAGCACACAGGGGGGAACATTAGCGACTGCAGAATGTGCTGTTTTCGGAGGAATTCAGTGGAGCTTTGAGAACGGGCAGGCTGCGTGCACATAACCAGCTGCTGTCTCCCGGGGCATGTGTTCCGGCCCCTCCTCCTCCCCTGGCTCTTGGAAATGGCTATTATCAGTGTACTCTCTTCCCCGAAGAGTGGGAGTGTCAAATTATGTTATTATCTGTGCTCCGGAGCCTGCCCAGAGCAGCTCCCCCTGCAGAGCGGGGTCCGGCCGCTCCCCTCACGAGCGGAGAGAGGGGCTTTACGCACTGGCCTGGCCTTCCCAACTCCAGTGCGGAGCCAGCCCCCCAAATCCTGTTACCGCCAGTGCACTCCACCTCCCGCGGCTCCCGGGCTCCCGGGCAGCCTGGAGAAGCCAAGCACACTGCAGACAGAGCTGCCTCCGTGCCAGGAGCCACCGCACCGGCCTGCCCACCCTCGGGGCCGTGGCTTATTCCGGAAGGCAGTCTGCTGGTCCATAGGCAAAGGAGCAGGGACTGCCCGTCCTGAGAGGGGTGGGACCCAGGCAGAAGCCGGTGACCACCCTGAAGCCACCGCAGAGGTATTAGGTAACAATGTAACCCGCTGTCCCAGACAATGTCATGATGCCATTTCTAGAGGACAGCAGGGTGGGACTGAGGTTCAGTGTTTGGAGAAAATAACAGGAAGGGCAAGACACTGTCAGCACGTCCCCGACGGCCTGTCAGCACCGGGACTTGGCTTGGAAATCTGTGTGGAGAATAGTTCTACCTGGCAGTGCCTTGAGACCAAATGACATTTAATGCTCCACTACTGTTTTCCACAAAAAGGTCCCATTTTCTGAATGCCCTGAGAATACAGGCTGTCCAGAGGCCACAGTAAATTACTTTCCTGTGCAGTTCACTCCCTTCCCCAGTGCCAGGGGCTCCAGCTCCTCTGGGCCTGCAGCCTGCAGAGACCAAGTCCCGCCCACGCCGGGCCTGGGCTCCGCCGAGCTGGGCACTGTGATGCGTGCCCAGGGGTCCTGCCTCACAAAGACCCCGTGAGGTAGGCGTCATCTCCACTGGATGGGCAAGGAGACTAAGCTATAAAGACGTGTGAAGACACTCCATGCTCCTTACCCGGCTTCCCGTGGCCCCAGCAGGGAAGCCAGAGCTCGCCCCAGCCTGTGTGCAGCTGCTGCGTGTGGCCGTCGTCCACCACTGCATTGGCGAGAGGAAGTTACTCTTTCCTGCTTCCTTCCTTATGAAGCGGGAGCAGGGCCCCTGCCTGTGGAGTCTGTGGCTTGGATATAACATACAAATCTCCTGGCACAGGTCCCTGAAAAGGTAGAAGGAATTTACTTAATCGTGACTATTATTTTTAGGCGAGAAATGACCATGAACTCACTCCGCCCCTCCCACCCTCGGCATCTCTCATCCCCTTCCGTGTTTCACTAAAAGGCAGGCAGGCAGTCATCGGCTGCTCCGTTTGCCTCCCCCTCGCCTGTGCCTGGTGGCAAACAAGGATCCTAAAGACCCAGCTGCCAGCCAGCAACCTGCCTTCTCATCCTCCCCCGAGGTGCCAGGCAGGCTGGGTTCTGAGCACACCCAGGGCTCACCAGCGGGGTGGCGGTTCTCCGGGCCAGGAACTGTGTGACTGGAGCCTGCGGCATGTAAATCAGCAAGACCGAGTGTGCAGTGGACTGGGAGCCCGAACACTGGTGATGCTGATACCCCCAAAGTCCCCTCCACAGACAGGATTCCTGACCTCTGCTCGTTGTCCTCAAGTTAAAATCAGGGAAACCTGTTGTTCTAAGGACTGCACCTCCAAGCACACGTACACTAGCTGTCTGCAGCTCTTCTCATCACACCCCAGGGGCACAAGTCCCCTCCCCGAGGGCCCTGGAAAGGAGGCCTGGGTAACAGCACCTCAGCACCCCGGACAGCTCCCGGGCCTGCTGCTGCTGTGTGCCCAGGAAGCACTGGGCTTCTGGGACCTGAAGCCGCTGGATGACTTTTTAGAGCCCTCAAATTTGATCTCAATTTGAAAACAGCAAAATGAAGTTCTTCCTGGAGGCATTCTGGCCCTGGATCTGATTTTGCCCTGGGGCCGGGATCAGATTCCTCTGGACGCTCTCAGCGTCTGCCCCGTGGGGAGTGGGAAGGGCCTTGGGCACCCGCACAGCAGTGAGGCAGCGATGGGCTCCCATTGGGTGGGTGAAAGGAGGCGCTTCCTGTGAGTGCGGCCATCTGCCCAAAGTGCCCATCAGCCTGGCTGGGCATCACTCCCCGGTCACGTGTCTGTCTCCAGCTCAACTTTGCACTTTTAATCTTCAGCAGCTCCATCTGCTCACATAGCTCCCTCGCTTCCCCTCAAGCCGAGCCCACACAGCACACACACACACATACACACACACAGCACGCACAGTGTACACACAGCAAAATGCACGCAGCACACGCACACAGCACACACATAGCACATGCACACGCACACTGCACACAGCACATGCATGCAGCGCACACAACACAGCACACGCACACAGCACACACATAGCACATGCACACAGCACACGCACACTACACACAGCACGCACAGCACACAACACACACAGCACATGCATGCAGCACACACAACAGCACATGCACATAGCACACACACATAGCACACACAGCATACACAGCACACGCACACAGCACACGCAGAGTACACAGCACACAGCACATGCACAGCACACACCGACTTCCTCCCACTGCAGCCAGGAGGTGGATTTCCATGCAGAACGGGTGAGCTCACATGCAGTGGGGAGTTAGGCTGGACCAAAACAAGCAAGACCTTGAGAAATTCTGGAGCAGGTGGCAAGGACAACGGCTTCTAGAATGTCCAAGATGGAAATAAGTTAGGGACCGTCCAAGTCAGCCTGTTTTATTGGAATCCATTGATTTTATTTGCTAAATACAATGCAATGCTCAAAAATATGCAGCCCACGCACCACCCACTCCTTCCCCCCTGTCCAATCTACAAATAAGATCAAGACTCCGAAACGCCAGGTGAGCTGCCCATGGGCAGAACCCTGCGAACCAAGAGGGCAGAGAAGCTGGGACTCCGGGCAGCTGCCAGGGAGAGTGAGCAGAGGCCGGACTGCAGGTCCCTGTCCTGACGCCTGGGCTCAGTCCAGCTCCACCTCTGCCGGCTCTGAGCCCCTTAATTGCCTTGTCTAGAAAAGGTGGGGGTGGGGCCGTGTAATACCTACCTCGGAGTTTGTCGTAAGGATGAAATGGGATGACTTCTGCAAAGCACTCAGCCACCGTAGCCCTCAGGACACGGTTGTCACTGTGGTGGAGTCGCCTGCTGCCGGGCCCTCACTGGCCATCCACCTGTGCTCTTCCCAGAGATTTAATATAAGAGTTTTTATCAGGGTTGGGAGGGTATGACTCTGCCAGAAGGTGGGAGATGGAGCAGTGGGCTTCCGAGTTCAGTGTTATGTGGGCCGGAGACCGGCTGGCAGAGGTGGAGGGCTGGGCTGGGGAGGGAGACAGCTGGGAGCCCAGGTGGAGATGGAGACCCGTGTTCAGTGGGATTGGGTTAGACTTTGCTGAACTGGGCACTACACTCTCAGTGCTGGGGGTGGGGGATAAGGAAAAGGCAGGCACAGGATGGG